CAGCAGACACTCTGACCCATCAAAAGGCTTCATTTGACAGTGAGGAAACCATGTAAGAGACAGTCGCGTGCAGATCTACACAGCGCCAGGGTTTGTCAGGGCTACGCAAAGATTGACTAACCCAGTAAAGTTGGACTAAGTGAGTCAGGTTTGTCTGGCCAGAAGGGCAAGGGAAGGCAGTGTCACAGGTTCCCTACTCTCCCTCTCCCTCTCTGATGTCTTACTAATATTTAATACACACACGGACATAGGGAGGGCTGTAGTAATTTGCGACACAGTCACAGACATAGGGAGGGCTGTAGTAATTCGCGACACAGTCACAGACATAGGGAGGGCTGTAGTAATCGCGACACAGTCACAGACATAGGGAGGGCTGTAGTAATTTGCGACACAGTCACAGACATAGGGAGGGCTGTAGTAATTTGCGACACTGTCACAGACATAGGGAGGGCTGTAGTAATTTGCGCGACACTGTCACAGACATAGGGAGGGCTGTAGAAAGCCGTGACACAGTCACAGACATAGAGAGGGCTGTAATAAGCCTTGACATAGTCACAGACATAGGGAGGGCTGTAGTAAGCCGTAACACAGTCACAGACATAGGGAGGGCTGTAGTAAGCCGGAAACAGTCACAGACATAGGGAGGGCTGTAGTAAGCCCGACAGTCACAGACATAGGGAGGGCTGTAGTAAGCCGACACAGTCACAGACATAGGGAGGGCTGTAGTAAGCCGCGACACAGTCACAGACATAGGGAGGGCTGTAGTAAGGCGCGACACAGTCACAGATATAGGGAGGAAGTGTAGTAAGCCGTTATACAGTCACAGACATAGGGAGGGCTGTAGTATGCCATGTCACAGGTTCTTCTGATGTCTAACATTTTAACACACACGATGGTACAGACCATGTCACAGGTTCCGTTCTCTCTGATGTGTTTGAGGTTTAATTCAGTGTCTCACTCTGGTACTCCTCCTCCGGTGGTTTATACACATTGGTGACGTAATGGGTAGCACATCAAGGCCACACACACACACACACACACACACTCAGACACACACACACACACACACACACACACACACACACACACACACACACACACACACTCACACACACACACACACTCACACACACACACACTCACACTCACACACACACACACACACACACACACATACACTCTCACACGCACATACACTCTCACACACACACACTTAATGTTCTTGAACACATATACAGACACCACACTCACACCACCAGCCTACTAATTACCCACACACATGCGCACACACCCATCCACACACACTACCCCTTCTCCGAACACACACACACACACCATGGCACAGAGACCTTATTTCCCAACAAATAGCTCCCCATGAGCACACACACACACACACACATATATAGTGACAGTGTGTGTGAGTGATATGAGTGATCACCTTTGGCAGGTTGTCTAACAGACTCTCAGTGCCTCAGAACCACCCAGGAGACCCCCATCATGGCAGGCAGACAGAGAGAGAGAGAATGAGGGAGGGAGAGTGACTAACTTCACTCTTTCTCTTCTTCTTGCCCCAGCTGTGTCTTCAAACAGTCCTTTGATGTGGGAAATTAAAAAGAGCGAGTGTGTCAATATCTCCCTCGATCCCGCCACATTCATCCATTTCCTCTCCTCCTCTCCCCTTCTCCTTCTCTCCCCTTCGCCTTCTCTCCCCTTCTCCTTCTCTCCCCTTCTCCTCCTCTCCTCTCTTTTCTTCTCTGCTGTTGACCCAGAATGCAACTTGTTTCTCACAACACCTTTACCACCCAGCCTCCTCGCCACTACGCCCTCATAAGTGTCAGTGTGTTTATTTGTGTGTATCCATGTGTGTGTGTGGGTCCATCACTTAACACTTGTAGCCACTACCATATCATTATTAGTGTGAGTGAGGGGTTCTCCCTTGAAGACCCGCCCTCTAAGCATTTTATTATTTTGTTGGTTTATGTGTGTGTGTGTCTGTGTGTGTGTGTGTATGTGTGAGTGAGTAAGTGCACCTGTATACAGTAAGTGTGTGCGTGCGTGTGTGTGTGCGATTGCGTGTCTGTCCATGTGCGTGTGCGTTGTGTATGTGGGCGTGAGTGAGTGCACATGTGCTCGTGTATACATTAAGTGTGTGTGTGTGTGTGTGTGTGTGTGTGTGTGTGTGTGTGTGTGTGTGTTGTGTGTGGTGTGTGTGTGTGTGTGTGTGTGTGTGTGTGTGTGTGTGTGTGTGTGTGTGTGTGTGTGAGTGTGTGTCCACCGGCCCACTCACCTGGGGTTTATGTCTATGCTGCATTAATCCTCCGTCTCTTCCTTGATGACTGGAAACTAATTTCTGCCTTTTTGCAACACTGTGCTACGCTTTACTGCACCTGATGGGGTGTTTCCAGGGCCACTCAGTCAGTGACTGAGAAAGTGTGTGTGAGACAGATAGAGCGTCAGGGTATGGGCTTGTGCACACATGTGTATATGCGTACTTGCTTGCACGTCTTTGTTTGTTTGTGTGTGTGTATTTATGCTGTCGTGTATGTGTGTGCATTAAGCATTTTATTATTTTGTTGGTTTATGAGTGTGTGTGTGTGTGTGTGTGTGTGTGTGTGTGTGTGTGTGTGTGTGTGTGTGTGTGTGTGTGTGTGTGTGTGTGTGTGTGTGTGTGTGTGTGTGTGTGTGTGTGTGTGTGTGTGTGTGTGTGTGTGTGTGTGTGTGTGTGTGTGTGTGTGTGTGTGTGTGTGTGTGTGTGTGTGTGTGTGTGTGTGTGTATACTGTTTTATCCCCATCTTATTCCCCCTCCCTGACACTGTGTTACTGGACTGGAGTCCAGTCACTGTTTCTATGCAACACTTTAGGCCCCTTCTGGACAACACCTCTCTCCCGTCCCGCTCTGTCTCTCACTCTTTCCTTCACCCTGGAGAGGGAGAGAGGGAGAGAGGGAGAGAAAAAAGAAGGGGGGAAAGTGGAAATAACAGGATGATGTCTCAGGAGGGACTGTCTGAAAAAAAGGAGAGTGAGGGGGGTGAGAGAGAGGTGTTTGCTCTGTGTATAAACTATGAAGTGGGGAACGTGCCATATGTAGCAGAGTCCTACTGTAAAGCCACAGTCAGAAAACATTTTTAAAGCTCAGAGAAACACAATAAACAATGAGAGAGAGAGAGAGAGAGAGAGAGAGAGAGAGAGAGAGAGAGAGAGAGAGAGAGAGAGAGAGAGAGAGAGAGAGAGAGAGAGAGGGAGAGGTAGATCCAATGTATAAAGGATACAGTACTGGAGATGGCTGATATAAAATTAAACAATGGCCTTTTAAAACTTCTGCAGTGATAGAGAGAGGGGGGAAGAGATTTGGAGATGGAAAGATAGAAAGAGGTAGATGGACTGATAAATATGTAGCGGGATGCGACGGAGGAAGTGTAGGCTACTGGAGATAGGGACAGGATGGACGAGAGAAAGTGATACAGACAGAAAAAAAAAATGAAAAAACAACGGAACATTTTAAAATTTGCTAAGGGAGACAGACAGCGCTGGGAGGGAGGGGAGGAGGAAAGAGGGAGCGCGTGTGTTTTTATGAATGAATGTCGGTGACTCAGTCGATGTGTCATACAGCCCAGTCTTTATAAAAGGACGTTTTAAACAAGCCTAAACATTTCACTGCGCGAAATTTTGACTTACACACACTCGCATCCATCTCTCTGCACTCGTCCGTCTATCCCTCCCTAACCATTTATCTGAGTGTCTGTCTATCGTTACTATCAGTTCATTACCAGAACTGATCTCAAACTTTACTGAACAAAAAGTTTGGAGGCATTGTATTTTATTTATTTATTGGATAGTTCGCACTCATTCCTCTACTTTTTCATTCATTCATTCATTCTCTCGTCCTTTTCCCCTTCTCCTTCTGCAATCTCTTGCGTCCTTCACTCTTTTCGCGGAGTGTGAAAGCTAGAAGAAACTGGAGCACGTGACAATTTCCGGAGTTCGATTTATTTATTAATTTTCTTACTTTATTTATTTAACTATTTATTTATTGCAACTCGTGCATTTATTTATTGGACACGAACAAAAATGAAATGTAAGTGCCTATGATCTTTTCCTTTCAAAAAGCCATTATTCTTTCAATAGATTCTTAATTTTCTTATTGTCCTTTCTAACTTGTCTTGTTTAGTTAATCCTATGTCTAATATGTTGGCATAATAATATGCTGATACGATTCTGAGGGTATGATCATTGATTGGGCTATTCCATATTCAAATGCAATTACTGAGCATGCAAATGTTACTTAATTGTCTGTTTACATAGCTAAGCATTGCCATGTTCAGTGACCACTGAGTGCTCCATTTGTTTCAAGAAGCCTAGACACTGACGTCTTATAGCAGCAGTTGGTTAATGTTTGAACAAGGAGTGATGCTCTCCTGAGTCCTGGCTTGTGCTTCTTGTGGTTCTCCTGTAATTACCCAGGCATTTATCATTTCAGCAGCAATTGGGACTTTCTTTACCTTGTATTTGAACTTGAAAGAGAAGGAATGAATGAGCTTACTGTTACAGAGCTGTCTTGGCTTAGGCTATGTAATTTATGTCGCATCCAACAACTGATGTATACTATTGCAGGTGTGACAATTGGAGGCATTCATGAAAGTCGATTATTGTGAAGGAGATCAACATAATATTACAGTGTGTCATAGCATTTCATGAATTAGGCCAAGTGATTTGCATTTAGGACTCTGGTCACATCCAACAACTGATGTGCAGGTGTGACAATTAGAGGCATTCATGAAAGTCAATAATTGTGAAGGGGTTGTTATTGTTAATAATATTATAATGTGTCATCGGATTTAATTATTTAGTGATTTGCATTTAACCTGTGAAAACATGACTCTGCTGGCTTTGTGTAACTCTGAAGGATTTCCACTGCCAAGTCTGGGTTTATGTTTACATTATGGTGCAATATCTCTGGAGAGATGAAAGCCGTACCCCGAGGTCATTATCATTATATCGACATGACAGCACTTCTCCGCGGTCATATAAACCTAATAATTGCTTCCGTTTCCTCCCAACCCCCAGTACTGGTCGACTCCTCCTCCTCTCTGCTGCTCTCGCTGCTATTGGCCCAACTGCCTTTATTTACATCTGCCGTCCCCGCCCCCTACCGGCGGCCGAACGTCGTGCACGAACTGGACAGATTGGCCAATCAGACGAAGAATCTGCGGCAGATCACAGCAGATCTATTGGTGAGTGGAATGTTAATGTATTCACTTCTGATGTCAGGATGGGGGGATTGCTATGCTGGTCTGGGTACTGTATTGATTGTGTGATAGCGATCATGTCCATTACAACTTACCTGAGGCACATGAAAAGAGACTGGCTGAAGTTGTTGTCCAATAGCTCACCTTTATGACCCCTTAATAACTACTATGGTTTCATAGTGATTGCATAGAGCAGTCATAAGAAGCCATGCTCCTCCTGCCTCACTCTCCCTGACTTTGTGACGCAATACAACTCTGGACAGTTGAATTGGACAGTTGCCCTAGATGTCTTATTCTTCTTGTGCTTCTAGTTCCGACAGTGCAGTAATATCTAAGATATTACTGCACTGTCGGAACTAGAAGCACAAGCATTTCGCTACACTCGCAATAACATCACTAACCATGTGTATGTGACCAATACATTTGATTTGAAGTTAAGCTGCTTTTGTTGTGTCAGCCAGTGTATTAAGAGTCCCTTAGCCGTGTGAGGAGGACAGCCAGGGCTGGCGTCATTAGCCGTGTGAGAAGGACAGCCAGGGCTGGCGTCATTAGCCGTGTGAGAAGGACAGCCAGGGCTGGCGTCATTAGAGATTTCACTATGTGAGGTCAGCCTTAATCCAGACAGGACAGGACTGGGCTCGGAGGCCGACTGACCGTGGGGAGATCTGCCTCAACCTCCTGGTCTGACTGAGCCCTCATAGTAGGGGAAAGGTGCCTCTAGACACTGATCTCAGGTCAGTTTAGTGTTTCCCCCCCTAATGCTAAGGGTTAGGATTGGGGGTAGGTACGCTAGTCCTAGATCTGTTACTATGGACAACTTGTACCTGGAGTAGAAAACACACACACTCAAAGAGAATAGAAAGTAACTACCGGTAATAGTTATTTCTGGAACTGATTAACTCCGTTTATTAGCTGTGAGGAAATGGAATGTGGATTGGCACCTGTTGCTTATCTGTTGCTGTTTCCTGAAGTTGTTCTAATCTAGATGGCCAAGTAAAAGCGGCTGGGGAGTTTGTATTGAAATGGGAATGATTGCGGTGTACTTTAGGCCTACAGATGTGATGGAAGTGTCCTGTAAGCAATGTGTTTGAACAGGTGAAGCAGAACATATCCTTATCTTTGGTTATTCATGACCGCAAGAGATTCTATTTTTATATGATGTAAATCAGAAACCACATTTGTTTAAGACACGTAACTGAAAATAGTTACACACTCTCTAGTCTCTGGTAAGAGGATTGTTCAATAAGTGTGTGTGTGTGTGTGTGTGCAGTATCTCTGTATGAGGACACAGTGCTATAGCAGTAGTGTAGTATGGGGGCCAGATGTGAGGAAGAAGCTTTATCAAAGCAGACAACGCTGCACAGCAATGGCAATATGCTGCTTTGACAAAATGTTTTGTTCGTTTTTCAATGACATGAAGGATTTATTTTGGTTTATTTTCTTCTTGTGCAGAGTTCCAATGAACAGGGGTCAAGGCTAGAAAAGAAAAATAGAATTGGTGTCAACGGAAAGTCCCTGCAAGAAAGCAATACAACTGTGTGTGTGTAATGTTTCTACATGTCTGTTGTGTGTTTTCATGTGTGTGTCCATGTGTTGTGTGTGTCAGAGTGTGTGTGCATTGAGGGTGCTGTAAATAGTTGTGGTTGTGTAGGTGTGGTGTTTAGTGTTTGGTTTTCGGTCGCCACAGCAAAGTGACCTGATAAAAATCACAGAGATTTATCACATTCCAGTATTTGCATTCAGGAAGATTGTTGGGGGGGGGGGGGTGGGGGGGGGGGCACACACACAGTGATGGGGGTGGGGGGTGCAAGGTTCAGTCGAGTGAGGTCATGATGGAGAGAACGAGAGAATGAGAATGGGAGGATAAGAGAATTACAGGCTGAGACTGAGCAGATAAAGAGATCAGAGAGAGATGCAGGAGAAGTGGTCACCAGTGGTGTGTGTGTGTGAGGAGCAGAGGGTAAGACGGAGGGTAGAGAGGAGAGGAGAGAGAGAAATAACCCAAAGAGGGGTGGAAGGGATAAGAGGGGTGGGATTGGATTAATTCTGAAAGAAAGACAAAACATTAAGCCACAAACATTAGTGGTGTTTTGTAAAAGACAGAGAAGCAAGTGAGTGAGGGAGGGATGAGGAGAGAGAGAGAGAGAGAGAGAGAGAGGCGAGGAGAAGGAGAAGAGAGAGAGAGAGGAGAAGAGGAGAGAGAGAGAGAGAGAGAAGAGAGAAGAGAGAGCAGAGAAAACAGAGAGAGGGCAGAGACAGAGAGAAGAGAGAGCAGAGAGAGCAGAGAGAGAGAGCAGAGAGAGAGAGAGAGAGATATGAGGGAAAACAACAACAATAATAATAGCAAAACACGATGGTAAAAGCACAATGAGGACAGACCAACACAATAGCATGAGGAAGCATTAAGTGTACACAACCCATTGTGTACCACCATCCATAATGTTTTCCTAATGCTGTTATGTTTCTCCACTGATTGGTGCTCTGACGCACATGGCGTCAGTCACTGTTGTGCTTCACGTCATTCTCAGTCATTTACATTCTACTCATAAATCACTTCTTCACCTGTTAAGGGCCCACAGAGATACAGTAGCCAGTAGCGGTGCCCCCGAGTCTGCTGTGATGTGGTCTGTCTCCCCCTAGTGGTGGCTGTGAGTAGTGCAGACACACAGCAATACGTCATCTCACATTTTTTATAGCTGCGACCCTGGAGTTTCCCTGCAGCTCTGTGTTGTCTATCCCACTCTGAGCTCTCTTAGTCAGAGCATATGTTGTTCTCCTCCTCTCCCAGTAGAAAACATCCTGTGGTTTCAGGTCACTTGCTCTTATTGTTGACGTTTTCGGGTTACAATCTGGGTGAACTCTCCCTGACCCAACCACACTTTTCTCAGGGAAAGCTACGGTCTCTAGTCGTGGCCAGACCAGACAGTCATCTGATCTAGGTGCTGCTGGAATAATAATTTCCTTATGCTTCCGTGACTCTTGTGAGGATGTACTTGACTGATGTAGCGTGTTGTTTTGTCTGTTTTTCTTACAGAAGGAACATGCGTTCGAGACAGACCCAGAACAGCATAGATTTAAGTCCCTGCCAGTAATGAACAACAGAGCCAGTGACATCAACTCCCTTGAGGTAAATGTGTTTTAATTTGTTTGTGTGTGTGTGTCTATATGTATTTCTGCCTTCCAGATGTGTTCTGTTATGTCCCAGACATTGATACTAAATCTCTCTCTTTTTCTTCAACTCTCTCCCTGCCCCTTTTCTTCTATCATCCAGATGAGACCCATTCTCTCTCAGCTCCACTCGGACTTGAAGTCGTTTGAGCACCATTTTGCCTGGTTGAGCAGAGCATCAAGGAAACACCACCACCCTGCTCTCCCTAAACTGGGACAGATGATCTCACTCATCAAGTCTCTCACCAGCATGCTAGAGCATCAGGTAACTGCTCCGTCCAACACTAATACGGCTGATAAATACAGTATGCAGCGTAGTACATTTCTATAATTTGGATATTATATACATATGAGATTTTATCAGATAGTTCTACTGTTCTTACGCTGTGTGATGATCTAATAATGGTATAGCTCTGTAGTTCTTGCACTTAGGTTTCAATCATTACATTACATTTAGGCCTGTTGCATCACATTCCTTGGATGGGAGGTACAGTAGTCTAGCCTAGCACTTCAGACAGGAAATCTAAACCCTCTCTCTCTCTCCGTTCTCCTCATAGATGGTGAGAGTTGATGCTCAGCGTCTCTCTCCTCCCTCTCCCTCGCTGCCACCTCCCCCCCCATCCCAGTTTGATGTGTTACAGTCTTCCCAGGAGCTGCTACTACAGTTCAGACTCTTCTGTGATTGGGCCCAACGAGTGTTCTCAGTGCTCAGTACAAAGTCCAAAATGTCTGCAGTACAATGATGATTCCTGAAGTGCTATAGTCTATAGGGATGCACAGAATCCACACTACAACCAATGGGGATCTACTAGCTTCAACCGGCACTACAACCAATGATGATCCAAGAAATCCACACTACAACCAATGATGATCCAAGAAATCCACACTACAGCCAATGATGATTCAAGATAACCACACTACAACCAATTATGATCCAAGAAATCCACACTACAACCAATGATGATCCAAGAAAAACACACTACAGCCAATTATGATTCAAGATAACCACACTACAACCTTGTACTGTTGACACTGAACCTCCATCCTCATCGTAGCCAATGAGGGAGCTCCATATTCAAACTACAGCCTATGAGGATCCACCATATTCACACTACTACAACCAGTAATGGCCTTCAATATTCACTAACATGTCACTGCCACCCCATCCTCTCTCTTAAATACCTTGTTCCTGACTATGTGTTATTTATGTATTTATTTATTTATTGTTAGTTATTTATTTGATGTCATTATTTATTTGATATTGTAACGTGTCACTTATCATATTTACTTACTTTATTGTCGTGAATTTAGTTTATTGTACCTTGTCAATACTCCTATTCTGTTCTCTCTCTCCCCCTTCATCCCACCTCCCAAAGTAAACAAGGAGACCACACAGTAGCACTTCCTGACTTCTTACAGTCTCTAATGATATGGATTGTATTTTCAACCATTTAACTTTATTCGTTCATCACACCTGTCTCTTCACAAAGAGTAGCCTATTTCCGCCAGTAGATGTAGCAAACATACTTGGCTTGTAGCAAGCATATCTTGGGAGAGCATACATGTATTTTTCTTACAGTGCTGTACTTTACCTTGTAGATTTAGGGTTACTCATAGAATCTTCCGAACATGTTAAATGTGCCACCTGTTTGGTTTTGTAAACTGTTAAGAAAGAGATTGTTATGAACCATGCATCAATCAGGATGTCAACACAACATAGGGTAGATAGTTTTTCCATGGGTTTAGTTGCTATTTACAGAGTCTGTGTCCCGCGTGGAAAAATAACAGGTGGCATATCTAACGCTGTGGTAAAGGTTCATGAATATGCCCTGTTGCTAAGCACTGATCTAGGACCTGATCTAATCTCTTTGCACAAACTTGTTAGGATTAGCCTTTTGAGTCAGCTGATTCTGAATCTGTGCCTTGGTACACATGATGTTTGAGAATTTTAGTGACATAAATAAGAAATGAAAAAACACCCCAAGCCTTAAAATACTATGTATTGTGATAGTGTGATACTACGGTTCTGCACAGTTGTATATACTTGTACAATAATGTAAATTGTTGTATACAATGCAATTGTGTATTATAGTTTTCTATGATATAATGTAGAATACTCTGTCAATGCTATCCCTATCGTTTTGTCGCAATATCAATATTATTATATTCTAGTATTTTGTTACAGTATTTACTATTTATTTAAGTTACTTTGGTGGAACTATTTATTTGCGCTGCAGAGGAGCAAGTCTCCTGTCGTTTTTGTACTTTTATACTGTTTTTATTCATATTTACCATTTTCATTGCTATCATCCATGTTGAAATCATTGTAGTACCATGCCTGAATGCGGTGGGAAACCTTGTGCTTGGGGTCTCCACCACACAGACTGACTGATTGGCCTAAATGTGAAATGTGTGCCTTGAAAAAAAAGTAAATAAAGAACATGAACAATGAGATGGGCTATTCATGTTACTTTGTCATCTTTTCACTATTAGGTAGGCCTACATATCATACTCTTTCTTTCTTTCCTTCCCTCCATCATTCACTTCGTCCAGCATCCTCCTGTGTCTCCTCCATCATCACACACAACAGGGCCTTGCCTACATTCTACCAGAAACTTCATTACCCATCAGGCACTGTAGCAAGCAGAGTTGATAAACCTGTTTCCAATGAACCTATAATAAGCCTTTTTATATTGGGGGTTTTAACATTCAAATAATGTGTGAATTCAAGTACTAAATCACAAATTAGTACAGTATTATATATTTTTTAAACAGATATAGAGACAAGATTTGACTGTTGAAGCTCGTACCCAATGGCAGTGGTGCATTCGGGGCTAGACCCAGCCTATAGCGATCGTCGTTGTTGGGAGGAGGCAGCTGGTGGGTGACTGCTAGCTAGCTAGTTAGTTTGTGCTCGGGTTTATTGTTAAGGTTGTATGGACTAGCACTGCAAGTCTCAATCCCTTTTTACAATATCAACAAAAGCATTAACCATGAGTTAATGATACTAGGTGAGTAATTGTTGCAATATTACTAATGCACCATTCGTATCAAACATTATATAGCGAAGAATGCCGTACGGACGAAGGCTTATAGATTCGGAGGCCAGTTGCAGAGGAGGTATTGAAGGCGGCAGCTGTAACATTTTCTGCTTAGAGTTAGCATCATAGAGTAGGTGTATTCGTTTTTTTTCTGCATTTTAGCTTGGAGAAACCCCTCTTTTTCGCACACGCTCATCAGGGACAGACCGATATAAACAGAAAGACGAGGAGGGAGAGGGGAGAAAGAAGAAGAGGAGAGGGAGGGATCGGGAGGAGGTGGGATTTAAAGGGATAGGCTGGTCAGTCTTTTGGCCGACTTTATTATTTGTAGACGTCTGAATAATTGTAGATGGAGATCAATGGTTGATGTTGCTTTGGTGTTAGTTCCTGGACCTTGGACATTGATCAATACTTTGTGTTTTATTTTATTTCACAGTCCTACTCTTAAGAAAGGAGACCACAAACTACATCAGCTCAGCTGTTGTTTCCTCACACCGAGGAACACAGCCACATAAGCAGAAGGAACCTTTTCACCAGCAATGAATGAAACCGGGAAAGAAGAGACACAGCTCCACCAACACTAATACACACACTTACATTAATACCAAACATACAAGCTTTTATTCTCTAATTGCGTCTTGCCTCAACATGGCAAACTCAGTGGCCACTCTAGTGGTCCAAGCGGAACTATTACCCCCTCAATCGTCCTCCTCCCTCTCTCCCTTCCCCTCGCTGCAGGGATCAGGAGAAGGGGAGGAGGACAGGGAAAGGGGGGAAGAAGAGGATGGGGAGAAAGGGATGGTGGAAGGGGGTGAGGATATAGTGCTGACCGGGGTAGGGGTGGAGATGGTGACGTCATCGGTCCTGGCCGCACCCCATCTCCAGGAGCACCCTGAGCACCCGTTCCAGTGCCTGGACTGTGGCAAGAGCTTCAAGTGGTCTTCAAGGCTGGCACACCACCAGCGCAGCCACAACAACGAGAGGCCCTACCGCTGTAACCTCTGCCCCAAGGCCTTCAAGGGCTCCTCCGCACTCCTCTACCACCAGAGGTACTGCAGGGAAGGGGGGGAGGGAGGGAGAGGGGGACGGGCACAGTGAAAGTTAGCAATAGAAATGTTTAGCATCTTATGCATCTCAGTTTATGAAGGGTATTCTTCTCCTTGTCTCCATCTGTTTTCATCTGTTTAGTTCTCTCACAATAATACAAATGAGGGAAATGCGAAAAATGTGAGCAATATAATGGAAGCCTATTTAGGGCCGTGGGAAACTAGTGGAATAGAATAATCAATACAACTATGAACCCTTTCTGTAGACGATATGATGTCCTGTAGATCGGTTGAAGGGTCAGTAGATTGTCTGTTTTCATGTTTGTTTTTTCTGTGCAGGTCTCATTCAGGGGAGAAGCCCTATAAGTGTGACGACTGTGACAAGGCCTTCAAACGCTCCTCTCTGCTCCAGGTGAGAAACACTGGGCAGTAATGGTTCCCCCTTTTTGTGGTAAAAATTTGTTGAAAGGTTTTTTGCTTTAAAAAGTTGAATGTTACAGTAGTAAAATGATCCTCTTGGGGTTAAGGGACCAGTCACGGATGTCCTCCTCTCTCTCTACTTGTGCATGTCTCCAGGTCCATCGTAGTGTCCACACAGGCCTGCGGACCTTCCAGTGCCCCTACTGCCCGCTCACCTTCAAGTGGAGCTCCCACTACCAGTACCACCTGCGCCAGCACACGGGCGAGTGCCCCTACCCCTGCGACAGCTGCCCCAAGGCCTTCAAGAACTCCAGCAGCCTGCGTAGACACAAGAACGTGCACCTGGGCCTGAAGCCCTACGTGTGCACCGTGTGTACCAAGGCCTTTACCCAGTCCACCAACCTCAGACAACACATGAGAATCCACACAGGAGAGAGGCCCTACATTTGTGGAGAGTGTGGACGCAGTTTCACACACTCATCCAATCTGGCCCTGCACCGGAACTCTCAGAGTCACACTGGTGAAGGAAAGGGGGGGAAGACAGGGGGAGGCAACATGGGGGATGAGATACGGGAAGTGATAGTGGGGGAGGAAGTGACATCACAAATGTTGACGGACATGGGCTTTGTGAGCCAGGAGGCCATGGTGGGGGTGGGGGTCGGGGAGGTGTTCCTATCGTCAGGTCACCAGACCCTCCTGCCCCATCTCACCCTAACCCCCACCCAGGGGGGCGTGTGCACATCCAGGGCCATCGGGACAGAAGTGCACGTGAGCACGGAGTCGGGCGCCAGCGTGCTGCTGTACAGCTGTGGCAGCTGTAGTCAGACGTTCAGCACGCGGACAGAGCTAGAGGACCACCAGGCCATGCACCTGGGCCCCGGGGAGGAGGGGGGCAGCGGGGTGGGTGAGGGGCCAGGGGGAGAGGGAGAGGTGGGGAATCTGCTGGCTGACTTTGAAGAGGTGGTGGAGACGACGGCAGCAGCAGAGAATGGACACACTACGGCTGAACTACTGGGACTGACCGGGGGAGTGGACGGAGGGGTGAGTAGTGGGACTCTCTCTCTGCCTGGGGAGGTTACCCCTAAGGCACTGTTTTAGGATCACACCAGATTCATCCATTCATGATCAATATTTGGTTTCTTACTCTACTCTCTAGGTCAATATCTCAGCTGATATGACTGCCATGATGTTGATGTTGTTGTGCAATGACTCTGGCCTAATAGTATTTTGTCCCATGTCAGAATATGGGGACTACCCAGGCCCAGTTTGACCTGCTGCAGAGCTTCACAGTGGGGGCTCAGATCCCCACAGACAGCGTGGAGACAGGGTGTAACACCCCAGGTCCAGGGACGGGGGCGGGGGCGGGCACAGAGTGTGCCTACTGCGGGAAGAGCTTCAAGACCAGCGGAGGGCTCAACAGACACCTGGCACAGGTAGCAATCATATGTCATAAGGTCTCTGTCCTGGATGCCAGTCTGTTTCTACTTCGTCTAACTTGGGCCTAGATTCAATCAGTTCAGCATTAACCTGCGATAACCGACAATTGCATAGCATATCATTGCTTTTGTTTGAGAACTGTCAAATCCACATGCAGCTCCCGGCGGTATGCCTTTCGCCGACATTGCCATTGGATGCATTAATAGAAAGCCCCTCCAGCCATGTTACAAGTTCGAACACTGGAATGTGTGATGGAATCTACACTTCGATTAGTCTGAACTGATCTACTCCTTGGTGTCAGTAAAGCTGACGTTATCGGATCTATAAATAGTCTGTTTTGATGACCCTCTCTCTTCCCAAATCTTCTTCTCTCCCTCTGCTCCCTCTCCAGGTCCACTCCCTCTCTCCCTCCCAGTCTCGCTCCCAGTTCAGCTGCTCTGCGTGCGACCGCTCCTTCACCCTCCTCTCTTCCCTGCTCACCCACCAGCACTCCCACACCCCCGAGCAGCGCCTCCTGGCCGAGGCTGAGGCAGAGATTGTCTGCCCCCCGTCCCTGTCCCTGTCCCTGCCCCTGCCCTCCTCCCCCAGGCAGGGGGACAAGCACCAGGACACCCAGGGGGAGATCCACGTCAGCCTGATGGCTGTGACAGAGGAGGGGGACAGGGAGGTGGCCAAGCCATCCACCAGAGCAGTGGTCAAGGGCCAGAGGAGAGGAGCGGCTAGTAAGACTGCTGGGGGGAACAACGGTGAGTTAGTCTTTTTCTTTTGGCTTTTTGATAGAAAATACTTTAAAAAGTGAGATACCTTGACAGTAACAGAGCCTAGCCTACAGCTGCTCATGAAATTACCTGTATAATTCATGTGTAAAAAAATATATAACATTATTCACCATTCTCCCTCTCCTCATCACTGTGGGTACGGTACAGAGAGGCCGTACCGTTGCTCTGAGTGTGGTAAGGCCTTCAAGGGTTCGTCAGGTCTGAGGTACCACATGAGGGACCACACAGGAGAGAGACCCTACCGCTGCACAGAGTGCGGCAAGAGCTTCAAGAGGTCCTCACTGCTCTCCATACACCAGAGGGTAAGACGTATCAGTCCATTTCTAGCTCGCTAAGGCTGCGTTTAGACAGGCAGCCCAATTCTGATATTTTTTTCCCCTAATTGGTCTTTTGACCAATCAGATCAGCCCTGAAAAATATCTGATGTGACAAGATCTGATATGATTGGTCAAAAGACCAATTAGTGAAAAAAAGATCAGAATTGGGCTGCCTGTCTAAACGCAAGCTATGGCATTTGTCACAAGGTGTGAACAGCGACACTGCTACGTTATAGCAGTTTATGGCCTGCTTTTCTTGTTCGAAACTTTTGAATGTACTTGTACTTTCAGAAGAATCGAGGCCGTCAACATTTATTTTCTGACTGATCCCTCATCTCTCCTCTCCAGGTGCACACAGGTGTGCGAGCGTTCCAGTGCCCCTACTGCCCGCTCACCTTCAAGTGGAGCTCCCATTACCAGTACCACCTGCGCCAGCACACGGGCGAGCGGCCCTACGTGTGCCAGGAGTGTGGCAAGTCCTTCAAAAACACCAGCTGTCTGAGGAGACACAGTCAGCTCCACTCTGGCCTGCGCCCTCACATCTGCCCCATCTGCTCCAAGTCCTTCTCACAGACCTCCAACCTCAAACAGGTCAGCACAGATAGCTCTGCTATGGCTGATGCTAGGATTCTTATGATATTGTGTACAGTGGCTCCTTTGCTCCATCTCTCTCTATATATATATCTCTCTGTCACACACATCTTTCTCCTCTCCCTTTATCTTTCTCTCATCCTCCCTACCCTCCTCTCTCTCCAACAGCACGAGCGCACCCACTCAGGCGAGCGGCCCTTCCAGTGTGCCCAGTGTCATAAGAGCTTCACCCACTCCTCCAATCTCCAGCTCCACCTGAGAACCCACTCCTCCAGGAAGGACTACAAGTGTCCCTTTTGTGGGAAGGAGTTTGTCATGCACTCCTACCTGCAGAGGCACATGAGGACTCATGGGAACGGGGCTGTGGCGGGGGACGCTGGGGTGGGGGGTAAGGAGGGGGGCAGGGGAGGTAAAGGGGGTGGAGGGGTGACAACCACCACCACCTTACTAAACCCCATCACCCTGGAGACCACAGGGAACTCTGGGTCTCTGATCGTGTCTCAGCCAACACTGGACATTCCCCCCAACACCTCCCAGAACTACTTCATGATCCAGACAGCCAATGGGCTTCAGCTCATCCCCCTGTCTGCCCCCGCCCCCCCTCCTCCCCCTCCGCCTCCCCCCCAGACACAGTATATCCTCCTACAGTGCCCCTCCACCAATGGGAGCCAGCCCAGCCTGATTCTCGTCCCCACCACAGCGACCAATCCCCATCCCACCCTGGATCCCCAGGGCCTCCCATTGGTCCAGACAGTTCTAAGCCCTGCCCAAACCCAGATGCAACATTTTCAGAACATATCCCAGCAACAACAGCAGCCCAGGTTCATCATCACCACCAAACAACAACGTAAACAACCCTCCCGTTGCTAAGACAACAACTCCCTCCCTGAACTCTATGCTGAACAAGCCCATATTAGGGAAAAGTAACCGGACAGCCAGGACCAGGAGAGGACGGAAACCCAAAGCTGCTGTAGGTCGGAAAACAACCACCTCAGTTGCTACGTCAACCACCTCTGTCACCATGACAACAGCCCCTGTCAGTCAGTCGGGGGATGTAGTACCTGTGTCTAGCTGTAATGTAATTAGTGTCACTCCAGCTACTGTTATTGCTGCCAACACTATGACATCATCATTGCCATCGTCTCTACCCGCCAAGTCACAAGGTCCTTCCTCACCACCAACGGCCTCTGTCTCTGTTTCTACCCCCTCCTCCTTTACCTCTGCAACTGTTACCTCAGGACCCCTAAAGGTTGCCTCAGTTACCATGGTTACACCAGCCTCCCTGCCCTCTGACCCTGTGGCCTGGGTTGGGGAACCCCAAACCGCCCCAGAGTTGGGCAATACCACTGAGCAGGACATGAGAGGAGAACAGTATGTCCTCTGCTTCCAGAAAGAAGGAGGGAAGAAGGAAGAGGTAAAGATAGGACAGGAAGGACGGTCCTACGTGTTGCAGTTTGAAGGGGAGAGGTGCGGGGAGGGGGGGCAAGGAGGAATGGGCAGAGAGGGGGATGGGGAGTCATACGTGCTGCGTTTCCAGACTGAGGGAGAGACTGAGGGAGAGACTGAGGGAGAGACTGAGGGAGGAACTGAGGGAGAGGGAGGGAAGGAGAAAAGAGGTCTGGTGTCACTGCTGCAGGAGTGGGGAGGAGAGAGAGAAGGAGAAAGACGAGTAGGGGAGGATGGCGGAGAGGGAGAGTCCTTTGTGCTTCATTTCCAAACAGAGCATCAGAGCGAGGAACGGACCACTTCTGACAGTAGCTATCTAGAAGGCCCCAGCAACAGCCTGGAACTTTCCTGCCCGCCTCCCCAGGCCTTAATGCCTCTGAATGGGCAGGAGGTGGTGTTTGAGCTGGGGGATGAGAACAAGATGGTGGGCCAGGGGTCTGGAGAGAGTGTGCAGATGATAGCCCTGATCGAGGGGGAAGGGGAGGGAGAAGGGGGCAGTTACAGTGGGGCAGTGGGGGGCAGTAGGGGAGGGCAGGGGGCCAATGGAGGGCATCTTTCAGCTTGAGGGAGGAGAGGGGATCGTCATAATTGAGGTTAGCACCAGCAGTCTAAGAGAAGGGGGGATGGACAGAGGAGGGGAAGGAGGAGTAACTTTAGAGAGGAGTGAAGCAAAAGGAGGGAGTGGAATAACTGAGAGGCCTGAAAAAGACAGGAACTCAGCAGAATGCATTGAAATAGAGACTGGAGCGAATGAAGGAGAAAACACAGCTACGAATGGCCCTACACCTAACTCTCAGTTCAATTAAACCTAAACCAAACAACCACTGTCAGGAAATGTGTGTGAAGGCGTGTGCATGTGTGTGCACACATGAATGTACATATGTGTGCGCGCAGTGTGTGTGTGTGTTTTCGATGTGGAGGCCTTTTCCAGCTACTGAACTAAAGGAGAGTCATTCAGAAAGAGACTATAGAAAGTACTACAGGAAATAATACCAAGGTGCCAGAAACACAACGAGTTAAATTCAGTGACTGTTATCAAAGAGGGACCTCGACAAAGTACTAATGACTTATGAGTTTCAATTATACTGTCATGTTGACAGTGTTGATATAAAATGCCTATGAGTTTTTTTTGCGAATGAATACATGGCGATATTGGCTCGGTTTCACTATAAATATTGATACTAGGAAATAGTCATTATTAATAAAGTTGTTAATCAAATCAAATAAGTTCTAATGAATGTTGATTAATTCACCTTTCTAATTTCGTTAATATAAATATGTTACTTTATCTAAAGAGGAAGAGGGTCTGCTTAGAATAATTGACAATTCCACTTTATTATGGGAAATAGCGGTTCTCCACTGCGTAGAGTGCGGCTGACCACGTTCACGTAGCAGGTTAGTAAATGTTCTGCGGTGCAGGTACTCGCTACGCAAATGGCGTAAAGACAGCATTCATGACAGTAAATGTGATCGTAAAACTACGTAACACTACATTTGCAATGGTGGCCACGCAAGTATTGCGAGTCATTCAATCAAACATAAGAAAAATCGGTTTGAAGGAATAAATACACAGCGAGTATATAAATCCCTTTCCCTGCATTTGGCGGTGGTCCAACGCTGCAAGTTTGCAAGGTAGGCTATGTGGCTTCGGCTGGGTTGAACGAGAAGATTCGACGTTTATTTAGACATTACGCATGAAGAACCCTTCTGCACTCACCATATAAGGATTTGAAACATATTTATTTATTTAAAACATGGCCATGGGTTTAAAACAGGCTTCAAATATATGAATACTGTGTGTTCTGATTTGCCTTTTAATTTTCATATTACTGATTTCCAAACTACGTTTATTTTACATTGAAGCCCAACATTGTTCTAAATGAGCCTCGTTGTTTGTTGTTGATAAGCCTTGTAGAAGCAGTGTGCCCATGCAATAGACAAATCCCTTCCCGACCCCCTCAAGTAATCCCCCATTTAGTTAGATTTTGGGAGGAAACGCCACTGCACTCACAATTGACACATTGTATCAACCTGCGCCAGTGTGATGCAGCAGTTGTTACATTGTTATGCTGTTAATTTGTTGCACAATGTAGCTACATACTGTATCCTGGCATACATAGTGTCTGATAAGGGGATATCGTAGGGGTCTGCCCCCTGACTATAATTTCATGTGTTTTCAATGTGTATCTGTCAGGGTTGGGCTAAATTCGAATTGAAGGCAGTCAATTCAGGAAATCAACAAAAATGACAATCCAATAATTGAAACAAATTGCATTTATTTTAAATAACTTCTCAATAAACTGAAAAGTAGAAGCTATTTATTTCAAAAGTTTTTAAACTTCCTGAATTGACTGCCTTCAATTCGAATTGAACCCAACCCTGGTATCTTTGTAGGCTATATATTCAGTGTTACAGGGATGGATTGCTTTCCCCCTGAGTCATGGCATCAATCCCAAAATAGCCTGGACCAAATATAACACACCACATTCCCATAATCTTGAAACCGATTTTATACCATTTAGCTACTATGGTAACCAGAATGTAAATATGCAAAATTCAACCACAAGGTGTATCTGTACAAATATATTATTTGACCATGAGATTTTTCCTATATTTGCAGACCGGTGTGTGATGTCTGTATGAGGTGTGTGTTGCAGCGTGTGTTGGTGTGTGAGGGGTGTGTGTGTGGTATGTGTGAGGTCCAGACATGGTAAAGCTGGAGCTAGATCAGGTGGTAATGAGGAGGATGAGGGAGGATGACATCGAGACTGTCAAAGCTATCATCAAGGTGTGTGTTTTATCCTCAAAGTTATGCACGCATGCACACACACACTGCAAGCCTGAGTTATGCTCTGTCTCTACACTCTTAGAATAAAAAGTGCTATCTAGAACCTAAAAGGGTTCTTCGGCTGTCTCCATAGGAAAACCCTTTGGAGAACCCTTTTTTATGTACACTACCATTCAAAAGTTTGGGGTCACTTAGAAATGTCCTTGTTTTCGAAAGAAAAGCATTTTTTTTGTCCATTAAAATAACATCAAATTGATCAGAAATACAGTGTAGACCTTGTTAATGTTGTAAATGGCTATCGTAGCTGGAAACGGCTGATTTTTAATGGAATATCTACATAGGCGTACAGAGGCCCATTATCAGCAACCATCAGTCCTGTGTTCCAATGGCACGTTGTGTTTGCTAATCCAAGTCTATCATTTTAAAAGGCTAATTGATCATTAGAAAACCCTTTTGCAATTATGTTAGTACAGCTGAAAACTGTTGTGCTGATTAAAGAAGCAATAAAACTGGCCTTCTGAATCTGGAGCATCAGCAATTGTGGGTTCGATTACAGGCTCAAAATGGCCAGAAACAAATAACTTTCTTCTGAAACTCGTCCGTCTATTCTTGTTCTGAGAAATGAAGGCTATTCCATGCAAGAAATTGCCAAGAAACAACGCTGTGTACTACTCCCTTCACAGAACAGCGCAAACTGGCTCTAACCAGAATAGAAAGAGGAGTGGGAGGCCCGGGTGCACAACTGAGCAAAAGCACAAATACATTAGTGTCTAGTTTGAGAAACAGATGCTTCACATGTCCTCAACTGGCAGCTTCATTAAATTGTATCCGCAAAACACCAGTCTCAACGTCAACAGTGAAGAGACGACTCCGGGATGCTGACCTCTAGGCAGAGTTGCAAAGAAAAAGTCCAGTGTCTGTGTTCTTTTGCCCATCTTAATCTTTTATTTTTATTGGCCAGTCTGAGATATGGCTTTTTCTTTGCAACTCTGCCTACAATTTAATGAAGCTGCCAGTTGAGGACCTGTGAAGCGTCTGTTTTTCAAACTAGACACTAATGTATTTATGGTCTTTGCTCAGTTGTGCACCGGGGCCTCCCACTCCTCTTTCTATTCTGGTTAGAGCCAGTTTGCGCTGTTCTGTGAAGGGAGTAGTACACAGCGTTGTTTCTTGGCAATTTCTCGCATGGAATAGCCTTCATTTCTCAGAACAAGAGTAGACTGACGAGTTTCAGAAGAAAGTTATTTGTTTCTGGCCATTTTGATCCTGTAATCGAACCCACAATTGCTGTGTGATGCGTGTGATAGAAGGAGTCAGGCGCAGGAGAGTAATACGCATCCAAAGAGTTTATTCCATCGATAAACAGTTGCGCAAGCATGCGACAACAACACTCAGGCACAGGGGAAAATTCTACCCTGGCAACAATAAGGTAAGGGTAGTTCAACCAAGCTACACACAGCTCACAACAAACAATCACACACACAGACAAGGCAGTAGAGGGAACACTTATACAATGACTAATTGGGGATAAGGACCAGGTGTGTGTGATTAATTAGACAAGACAAGTGGAGTGATGATAAATGGATCGGCAGCAGCTAGTAAGCCGGTGACGAAGAACGCCGAAACCTGCCCGAACAAGGAGGGGAGGCAGTTTTATTGCTTCTTTAATCAGCACAGCAGTTTTCAGCTGTGCTAACATAATTGTAAAAGGGTTTTCTAATGATCAATTAGCCTTTTAAAATGATAAACTTGGATTAGCAAACACAACATGCCATTGGAACACAGGACTGATGGTTGCTGATAATTGGCCTTTGTACGCCTATGTAGATATTCCATTAAAAATCAGCCGTTTCCAGCTACAATAGCCATTTACAACATGAACAATGTCTACACTGTATTTCTGATCAATTTGCTGTTATTTTTTGTGGACAGAAAATTGCTTTTCTTTTGAAAACAATGACATTTCTAATTGACCCCAAACTTTTGAATGGTAGTGTATATTAGGCATTTTATGGTTATCACTCAAACTCACCTTTCGATCTCTGTCCCCCCCCCCCCCCCCCCCCCCCCTCTCTCTCTCGCTCTCTCTCCTTTCCCCCCCCTCCCTCCCTCCCTCCCTTGCTCTCTGTCTCTCTCTCTCCTTCCCCCCCTCTCTCTCTCTCTCTCTCTGTAGGAGGGTTGTCAGGGCACAGAAAACCGTCTGATCCTCCACATCCTGACTCGTCCTGTCTGCCTCCTACTCCTGGCTACCGTCTCTTCTGTCCTCCGCTGCTTCCTTCACTCCTTCATCCTGGCCCTCATCATTCCTGTCTTCCTGCTCATCGTCTACCTCAAGTTCACCATGCCACGCTCCACAGGGGTGCTGGGTACCAGCCGGCCCTACTGGGACTATGTGGGGAGCAGTTACCGAGGGGCGCAGGACGAGACCCTCCCCAACCCCTATAGCAGGATCAGTGGGAAACCCCCGCCGGCAAAAGTAGGTTTCATATAGTACATCTCCTTTTCTTTGACTTAAGGTACTGTATGTTGTGGATGTTACATGTATGCATTGCTCAGTTTTACTACAGTGTTTTAGAGATTTTGACTTTTAGTGCTTTGGGCTGAGTTGCTGCACAAATAAAGTTGATTATTATCTGTCATTAAAGGGCAAGGCCAGACGGAGGACCAAACCCAAGGCAGAGGACAAGGACAAAGACTTGTCTCCTGAGATCGTAGACGTGGAGAGGGAGAAGGCAGCAGGGCAGGTGTGGGTGGCGGACTGTGAGGGGGAGATCGTGGGCTGTGTGTCCAGGGAGGGTGACTGTCGTCTGGGGATGAGGAGGTTCTGCAGGGTGGTGGTGGGGTGCTGGTACCGCCGGGAGGGCCTGGGCAGACTGCTGGTCCAGAGTCTGGAACAGAGGGAGAGGCAGACGGGGGCCAGGAGGGTCTACGCCCACGTCCCCTACCCCTCTGCAGTAGGAGAGGCCTTCTTCAGGAAGCTGGGCTACCGGCTGCAGGGGGAGGTGGGCTACGACGGGGAGGAAGAGGAGGAGGATGAAGAGCAGCCGGAGAGGACATTTCTGGGCTTCCATGTCACCAAGGTGTTTGTCAAAGACCTCAAATGATGGAGGAGACACAACGAAGGGAATGTGGAAAATACCAAAGGGAAAAAGAGGAGGAGGAGGAGGAGAGATACTGTTATTTTACTGCTTTTATTTTTTACTTATCTATTGTTTACTTAACACTTATTTAGCTTAAAACTACATTGTTGGTTAAGGGCTTGTAAGTAAGCATTTCACTGTAAGGTCGACACCTGTTGTATTCGGCGCATGTGACAAATAACATTTGATTTGATACTAAAGGGAAATAGAGGAGGGGGAGGAGAGATACAGTGAAAAGAGGTGGACTACCTCTCTTATCAGGGCAATAATGAGGGTAGACAATGGACAATCTAGTGAACGGAACCTTACTTAAATGACGTTTTTTCCTCTCCTGATTTGTAGTATGTATTTATTTATGTATTGCTTTTACAATTGTCATTGAGTTCTTATTGTATTGAGTTCTTATCATCTTGATTGTTGGTTGAAAACAAAATCCAACATTTGATGTAAAATATATCTGTTTATATGTCTTACTGGCTCTTTATTTGTAAAGATTTGTTTTACAAAAAAGTGATTTTGCAAATAAATGTGTGCGTCCGCAGGGATGTGTGCACACCTCTGTCAGTGAGTATGCATTTACTGTGTGTGAGGAAGTATGTGGTTTATGTGAGTCTGCAGAACTTCTCTGTTCTTTCTCTCTCACTCCTCCTCACCTGCACCTGTGTGTGGCTTTGAATGAGTCTGCAAAACACATGCTCTCCTCCATTCATCACTCTCTCTATCCTCACCCCACCCCCCTTATGACACTTAATATCATTCCTCACACTGCACACCTGTCACATGGCAGGAAAAAAAGTGTCAGATATATTAACCCTGGTACAGATTGCACACCATGGTATTAGTAGTAAATTATAGCAGTAGTGTAGTGTGCTGTTTGCAGGTGAATGTCAGTTTGTGTGTGGGTGGAAGGGTATGTGTGACACTGCTCTTCAGCCCTGTCTCGGCGTAACCAGAATTAGAGCGTGGTTAGCTACACGTGTGCTCACCGTGCTAACCTCAGACCGTATCATAACTACATTAACCTGTTTCTCACATAGATACAGTGCTGGAGTGTTGTAAATGAAATAGCTAGTGGCCTGTGTGTGGTCTTGGGGGAGGAGTATCTCCCCTAATACTAAGTGTTAGAAAAGAGAACCACCCAAGTTTGCATCAACTGTTTAACCAGAGCAAAGCCTTCGCTCTAAGCCTCTAGGATTCTGTGTAATGTAAAGTGATTTCTCTGCAGTGAAACAATGTGTAATCTTCAGAATAAATACATTACAATGACACAACTCTTTTTAGTGCTGGGATTACAGTAAAACCCTGTTAAGAATCACTCCCACACACACATTTACTGCTACCCATGGCCATGCACGTCAGTGAAGGAAACGTGCAGACAGACAGATGTAATAGTGAGTGTGGGAGTAATTGTTATCCTTGAAACAGTCTTCCCCATTCTTCCCGTTGAGCATTAGGTTATTTTATTATTGAGAGTCATGGTTCTCTCTCTCCATGCCTGCCCTGCCCTGCCCTGCCCTGCTGCAGACACCTGTTAGCTGGGCCTCTATCGTCTAACCGATCTGAAACTATTATTGTTGTCAGGAAACAGATGTGAGTTCACGCCATTGGAAAGTAAGCCTGTTTGTGACTGTGGTCATGTGGGTCTGCACGGTATGGGGTGTGTGTGTGTGTGTGTGTGTGTGTGTGTGTGTGTGTGTGTGGGCGGGTGGGTTTCGGAAAGTATGACTTTGCACATCCTGCTGCCGGTTGGTTCCCCCCCCTGACTATGGGTTAGATGCACAGCCATGTCTACCATAGCCTACTGTACTCTGACACACACACTGTCTGTTACAGTAGGGCTGTGCACGTGAGTGTTGGTTTGTGACCGAAAGGCGACCTCGGTCAACTGTGGTCAAACCATGGAAGATGGTGATGTATAATCCATCTGTCTTACTTAAAACCACACACGCAACGCACGTTTGCAGGATCATATTTAAAACAGACTGGAGGTTATGAATGGTAACATTCCATAGACACATTCACTTGCACAGTGACTTTTAGGTGCTTTATCAACATAGTGCAAGGTTACTAAGGTTAGTTGCTGTCAACACATAGAGTCCCTTTCTCTCACACACACATACAGCACACAGACAAACATTGCAGATTAGTGTAAATCTTGATGTTGGGGCACCGCACCACCGGCGGTTGGTACGTAAATGGCAGAGTGGATAAATCTGTTCCAGATGATGTGTATAGATCATATTTATGACACACTCACACAGATGGGCTCCACAAGCCAACCAAACACACACACACACTCACACACACACACACAGTACAGATTAGCTCCAAATACACCCACCCTGGGAAACGGTGAATTCCCCAAACCACAGAGTGCATGAGCGGGTGAGGGGAGTGGGGAGTCATGGGAAACAGAGAGGCACAGGATGCGTGCAGCTGCAGTGAGCGGGACCGGGCCGGAGTAAAAACAGACAGAACGACGGCACAGAACAAAGTGAGAGAGAGAGTGAACACACCCTCGTCTATGGAGGAGGATGGATGACAACATCTCATGGTTCAAAGGCTGGATGGTCTGAGTTATACACACTGTGCGTAAGGGGAGAAAGCCACACTGCAGTGGTGGAGCAGAGAGGGAGGCCTGGTGTGAGAGGGGTCACTCACAGCTCCTATGTTTGTTATGATTGACACACTTTGGGAAAACCCAAATATGACATGTGCAAGCACATGCACTCACAAAACCCAAATCAGAGGTATAGGTGTCAGGGCCTCTGGGTTTTGGGGGACGCCCATGTCTACCCCAACTCTGGGGCCTGGAAAGGGTGATGAGGGGAAGGGGGAGGGGAGGGGAGGAAAGGAGGGAGTGAGTGGAGGGGAACGGGGAAAGGGTGGTAAACCCAGTCTGCATCAAGGCGAGAAGGTATCTGGACGTTTTTCTTTAATGATCTGGGAAAACCAGAGTGGAGGGTTGGGTGACTGGCTGGGGGAGCGAGCGAAGTGCCTTTGGAAATTTCCATCCATTTGGCTGAGTTTACTGACATATGTGAGAAAATCAAAAGGTTACAAATCACGTCAAACACTCCTGGACTCGTGTGGTCACTGTAATTGCTTTGTGTTTCCTGCATTGTGAAACGGATTTGTTTCTTGTGGTTCTCGAATTAGTCATTAGTCAACTCATGGACTGTATCTATCTAGTATTACTATACTGAACAAAAATATAAACGCATCATGTAAAGTCTTGGTCCCATGTTTCATGAGCTGAAATAAAAGATCCCAGAAATGTTCCATACGCACAAAAAGCTTTTTTACCTCAAATGTTGTGCACAAATTAGTTTACATCCCTGTTAATGAGCATTTCTCATTTGCCAAGATAATCCATCCACCTGACAGGTGTGGCATATCAAGAAGCTGATTAAACAGCATTATCATTACACAGGTGCACCTTGTGATGGGGTCAATAAAGGGCCACTCTAAAATGTGCAGTTTTGTCACACAACACAATGCCACAGATGGCTCAAGTTTTGAGGGAGCATGCAAGGAATGTCCACCAGAGCTGTTGCAAGATAATTGAATGTTAATTTCTCTACCAAAAGCCACCTCTAACGTTGTTTAGAGAATTGGCAGTACGTCCAACCGCCCTCACAACCGCAGACCACTTGTAACCACGCCAGCCCAGGACCTCCACAGCCGACTTCTTCACCTGCGGGATCGTCTGAGACGAGCCACCCGGACAGCTGATGAAACTGTGGGTTTGCAAAACTAATAATTTCTGCACAAACTGTTAGAAACCATCACAGGGAAGAACATCTGCGTGCTCGTTGTCCTCACCAGGGTCTTGACCTGACTGCAGTTCGGCGTCGTAACCGACTTCAGTGGGCAAATGCTCACCTTCGATGGCCACTGGCACGCTGGAGAAGTTTGCTCTTCATGGATGAATGCCGGTTTCAACTGTACCGGGCAGATGGCAGACGTGTGGGTTAGCGATTTGCTGATGTCAACGTTGTGAACAGAGTGCCCCAACATGGTGGCGATGGGGTTATGGTATGGGCAGGTATAAGCTACGGACAACAAACACATTTGCATTTTATCTATGGCAATTTGAATGCACAGAGATACCGTGACGAGATCCTGAGGCCCATTGTCGTGCCATCACCTCATGTTTCAGCATGCACGGCCCCATGTCGCAAGGATCTGTACACAATTCCTGGAAGCTGAAAATGTCCCAGTTCTTCCATGGCCTACATATTCACCAGACATTTCACCCATTGAGCATGTTTGGGATGCTCTGGATCAACGTGTACGACAGCGTGTTCCAGTTCCCGCCAATATCCAGCGACTTCGCACAGTCATTGAAAAGGAGTGGGACAACATTCCATAGGCCACAATCAACAGCCTGATCAACACAATGTGAAGGAGATGTGTCGCGCTGCATGAGGCAAATGGTGGTCACACCAGATACTGACTGGTTTTCTGATCCACGCCCCTACCTTTTTTTTAAAGGTATCTGTGAACAGATCCATACTAGATCCATATCTGTATTCCCAGTCATGTGAAATCCATAGAATAGGGCCTAATTAATTTATTTCAATGACTGATTACCTTCTATGAACTGTAACTCAGTAAAATCTTTGAAATTGTTGCAGGTTGCGTTATATTTTTGTTCAGTGTAGTATTAGTCATGATCAACTCATGGACTATATCTATCTAGTATAACTAGTATTTTTTATTTAGTTTCACAGTTTGTAGGCCTACCTTGTTGTTTGCTGATTAACAATGTCCTGTAGTATAGTGTATCTACACGACTCTGGCGTAGCTTTGATATTTCTGTCACCCCTCCCCTATTCTTGTTTTGAAAAATATCTCCATCCAACCAGTGCCCTCTCTACACAAGCTGTTTGACTGAGCGTATAGGTATATATATCTACCCTGTCACCTCCTTCCCTTCCCCCTCCCCTCCCCCCACACTCTCTCACTCATCTCATCACTCGCTCTCGCCTGATTGACTGTGTGAGACAAATTAGGCTTTTGAAATGATCAACAAATTTGACAGGTGAGTAAAAATGCACATCTGTTTTTTTGTGTTAATTGTTTAATGAGTTGAGCAAATTGATATGTTATAATATCACATGACGTGATCAACTAATGCATGGTGTAATACATGTTCTAAAGCTAATGCCTACTATTTGGTGATTGCTGTCCTATTTATCATTGATGATTTATTATGAAACCACTCCTGTCGTCTTTATCTTATGCAGCACAATCAGAAGTTTCGGTGATGATGACAACAACATATTGAATAGCTTTCGCTAGTTTCGCTGAAAGCTGTCAGATTGAAACTGAGACCGAGAGAACCAGGGCCAATTTGTTAGACACCAGTTCATTGACAGAAGTTAACCAAACCAGTGGTTTGGTTAAAGAAGAAGAGGAAGGTGTTGAGTAGTCAGTGCAGTCCTCATAACAAGAGTATATGGCTTTTCCAGACCAGATAAGCCACTACAGGTGCAGAGGAGTGAATAGCAATAGCAGTGGCCATAACCATTCACCTTTTCACCTTAGGCCTGCCTCCGTGTGCTTATGGAAATAGATTTTGCCAGCAACTCTACTACTTATTTGAGTGAAAACCTATTTTCTGTGTCTCAGTGTGCTGTTGGCCCAGAAGAAGTTTATCTACCACTATAAGAACATGCGCTGGGCCAAGGGCCGACACGAGACCTACCTTTGCTTCGTGGTCAAGAGGCGGGTGGGACCAAACTCACTCTCCTTCGACTTTGGACACCTGCGCAACCGGTTTCGGGGGGGGGGGGGGGGGGGGGGGGGGGGGGGCTTTTGGAGGTTTGAGGGGGAGGGGGAAGGGGGAGGGGGGAGAGGGGGTGAGAGGAGGGAGGGAGGGGGGTGTGGAAGGGGGTAGGCTTGATTTAGGAGGGGGTTTTCTTTTTCTTTTTCCTTCTCTTTTGCTTTTTTTATTCTTTCGTTTTCTTTTCGTTCTTTCTTTTTTCCCTTTCTTTCTTTTCTTTTCTCGCTTTTTTTTTTTTTCTCTTTTTGTTCTTTTTGCTTTCAGTTTATCTCTTCTCTTTCTTTCCCCCTCTCTCCTTTCCCTTTCATTCTTCTCTTTCTTTCCCTTCCGGGTCCTTTCTTTTTTCTTCCCCCTTGCTCTTGTCTCGTCTTTATTCTCTTGTCTGTCCCTGTTGCTCCAGTTCTCTCCCTCTTTCCGTCTTTATACACTGCTCAAAAAAATAAAGGGAACACTTAAACAACACAATGTAACTCCAAGTCAATCACACTTCTGTGAAATCAAACTGTCCACTTAGGAAGCAACACTGATTGACAATACATTTCACATGCTGTTGTGCAAATGGAATAGACAACAGGTGGAAATTATAGGCAATTAGCAAGACACCCCCAATAAAGGACTGGTTTTGCAGGTGGTGACCACAGACCACTTCTCAGTTCCTATGCTTCCAGGCTGATGTTTTGGTCACTTTTGAATGCTGGCTGTGCTTTCACTCTAGTAGTAGCATGAGACGGAGTCTACAACCCACACAATTGGCTCAGGTAGTGCAGCTCATCCAGGATGGCACATCAATGCGAGCTGTGGCAAGAAGGTTTGCTGTGTCTGTCAGCGTAGTGTCCAGAGCATGGAGGCACTACCAGGAGACAGGCCAGTACATCAGGAGACGTGGAGGAGGCCGTAGGAGGGCAACAACCCAGCAGCAGGACTGCTACCTCCACCTTTGTGCAAGGAGGAGCAGGAGGAGCACTGCCAGAGCCCTGCAAAATGACCTCCAGCAGGCCACAAATGTGCATGTGTCTGCTCAAACGGTCAGAAACAGACTCCATGAGGGTGGTATGAGGGCCCGACGTCCACAGGTGGGCGTTGTGCTTACAGCCCAACACCGTGCAGTTGCCAGAGAACACCAAGATTGGCAAATTCGCCACTGGCGCCCTGTGCTCTTCACAGATGAAAGCAGGTTCACACTGAGCACATGTGACAGACGTGAACAGAGTCTGGAGACGCTGTGGAGAAACGTTCTGCTGCCTGCAACATCCTCCAGCATGACCGGTTTGGCGGTGGGTCAGTCATGGTGTGGGGTGGTATTTCTTTGGGGGGGCCGCACAGCCCTCCATGTGCTCGCCAGAGGTAGCCTGACTGCCATTAGGTACCGAGATGAGATCCTCAGACCCCTTGTGAGACCATATGCTGGTGCGGTTGGCCCTGGGTGCCTCCTAATGCAAGACAATGCTAGACCTCATATGGCTGGAGTGTGTCAGCAGTTCCTGCAGGAGGAAGGCATTGATGCTATGGACTGGCCCGCCCGTTCCCCAGACCTGAATCCAATTGAGCACATCTGGGACATCATGTCTCGCTCCATCCACCAACGCCACGTTGCACCACAGACTGTCCAGGAGTTGGCGGATGCTTTAGTCCAGGTCTGGGAGGAGATCACTCAGGAGACCATCCGCCACCTCATCAGGAGCATGCCCAGGCGTTGTAGGGAGGTCATACAGGCACGTGGAGGCCACACACACTACTGAGCCTCATTTTGACTTGTTTTAAGGACATTACATCAAAGTTGGATCAGCCTGTAGTGTGGTTTTCCACTTTAATTTTGAGGGTGACTCCAAATCCAGACCTCCATGGGTTGATAAATTTGATTTCCATTGATCATTTTTGTGTGATTTTGTTGTCAGCACATTCAACTATGTAAAGAAAAAAGTATTTAATAAGATTATTTCATTCATTCAGATCTAGGATGTGTTATTTTAGTGTTCCCTTTATTTTTTTGAGCAGTGTATATTTTCCTATCTCTTCCCCTTTCTTTCCTTCCCATTTCTTCATCACTCTCTTTCCCCTCATTCTACTCTCCTTTCTCTCTATCTGCATCTTCCTCCCTCAATCATTTCTCTCTCTCCCTTCCTCACCTATCTCCATCACTCTCTCTCCCTCATTCCTCACCTATCTCCATCACTCTCTCCCTCATTCCTCACCTATCTCCATCACTCTTTCTCTAATTTCTCACCTATCACTCTCTCTCCCTCATTCCTCACCCCTCTCCCTTTATCACACACCTCCATCACTCTCTTTCTTTCCACCCCCCTTAGCTGCTGTTCCTGCGCCTCTTGGAAGCTGGCGCCCTGTGTCCGGGCCTGTGGGGTTATGGAGCTCCAGACAGTGTGGGACTGTGTTACTCTGTCACCTGGTTCTGTTCCTGGTCTCCCTGCTCAGACTGCTCCTACAGACTGGCCCAGTTGCTCAGCCAGACCCCCAACCTCCGCCTCAGGATCTACGTCTCCAGGCTCTACTTCTGTGACCTGGAGGACAGCCGTGCGAGAGAGGGTCTCCGCGTGCTGCAGAGAGCCGGGGTGCATGTGTGGGTGGGGGTGGGGGTCTCTTCCCTAATGCATCTCTCCTTATAATTCTGTCTCTTCCCTATAGACTATTTCTACTGTTGGCAGACCTTTGTGGCTCGCAGACAGCGTGTGTTTAAGGCCTGGGACGGACTGCATCAGAACTCTGTTCAACTGGCCAGGAAACTTAACGACATCCTCCAGGTAGGACACACACACACACACACACACACAAACACACACACTATACCCTTGAGTTAGTAGGCTAATGATATTTACTGATTTGTCTTTCAGCCTGGTGAGGCAGAAGATTGGAGAGATGCTTTCGAGCTGCTTGGATTGTGATTCACGTCTTTCCCTGTCATGTATGCTGATATGGAGCTATTTATTTTTGCTCCTCCCTTTAACCTATCACTGTAAAAAAAAAAAAATAGATGAACTGTTCAACTCAATTGCATAATGTGTTTATATATTGTTTTTTTGTTTTTTTTACCCTTTGTAGCATTATTACTGCCTTGTAACACATCCATTAAATAATTTCCTCCAACTGTGATTATGAGTGGTTTTGTGTTGACATTATCCTACCCTGATTTAAATTTGACCAGCTCTTTATCTCTCACATAGCCTACCATAATCAACCAAATAAAGGTTAGGCTAATTGATTACAATTATCTCTAAACTATCACTGACAATGGTTGATTAATCTGGATGAATGACATTAGAAACGGATGTGAATGCTTCTCGTGCGCAAACACACAGTGTATTACGCTCCCGTACCCGTTAACGTGCACGATCACCAAACACTGATTGAATTAAAGTCAAGATGGCGACCGAGGGCGAATACGAGTCGATCCTGTGTGTGAAACCTGACGTCAACGTTTACCGAATCCCGCCGCGGGCATCGAACCGGGGAGTCAGGTAAGAGACCCGGTTCCGGCACCATCAACCGGTGACCTTGCCCTGGTTTGACTCCAGCATCATTTGTTTGGCGTGGCAATATATCAACCTCCCCGTAGGCAAAGCTCTTGTCTTCACATCAAGGCAATGCATTGCCCATATAATGGCTATGATGGTCGTCTCTGTCGCCTTTGCAGTGCGCAATAGCTTTTCTATGGTGGCCTACCAGGCAAACTGGTTGACTTCTATTACGGAGGAATAGTCTACCACCAGATGTCAAGGCTGTGCGTAGTGGGATGGATAGGGAGAATACACCTGTTATTATTGTAGTCCACCTGACGGTATCAGACAATGACATTGAATCCTGTTTACAGTGCGAAAACGTGACCGTGTCGTGTCCCCCTTTGACAGAATGTGCTTTGACTGCTCTGTGCTTTGGGGCGAATGTTTAGTGAAAGGATATAGTGGGTACTACGGTATTTAAAGGTCCATAGGATTAGTGAGATTTTTACTCCCTCGTAGGATTATCTGGGCATTTTCTCTGTTGTAGCCTACCCTATTACTTTCTAACCAGGGTTCGTTAAAGGATCTCTTGTTGACAGTGACTTCAGTCCTATTAGGCTACAGTCTACGGTTGGCAGTGTGTGTGTGTGACTATATTGTGTTTACCCATTTGTTCATTGGCTGGTGTTTTAACGCGATCCAGTCTATCTGCATGCTGACTGGACAGCGTTCCATACTGTATCTTTCTCCTGGGAGCTGATTGGCTGACCACCAGTAACTTGCCATCACCAAGCACAAAGCTGAGTCTGTTGTGTGATGTAGTGAGTAATAATAATGAGGGAATATTCCACCCCAGGTCTGGTGAACTGCCAGCCCAGTCACCTTGTTATTTCTTCTTCTCCTGACTTCACTCTCATTTCAGTAGCAAGGTGTAGTGGTTGGTTATCAACAACATGGTATCCCTCTTTCTGACACACACCTATACAGTCAGTCTCATCTCTGATTGGCTGTCTGTGTCTCCCTCAGGGCGGCGGATTGGAAGCTGGATGCCCCTGATTGGACAGGCCGTATGAGAGTGACGGCTCGGGGAAAAGTGGCTTTCATCAAACTGGAGGACAAGATCTCTGGTGAGAGGCCAAATTGTCCCCTAGCCCCTAGCCCAGGGTTACCCAATAGGTGGCCCGCAGGCCACATTTTATTCGGCCCCCCAAGTTTTAAATGTTTACATTATTATTTTTTTGTTCTTCGATATAAAAGACTGTAAAATCACCAGGAGATTAGTTCAAGGTAATTTTTATTTAGGAGATCTGTTCCCAAGTATCCTCACGCATAAATAGAGAGGCGTATGTGATCGTATCCCAATGTAATCAACGTTTGAAATTATTCTGTTTTTGTCAAATACTATATCTGTTTCTTGCGGTCAATTTGCAGTGTACAAATTATTTATAGCTATGTTCCAACCATCCGCTCAAGGAAAAATTGGCCCACGGCTGAATGTAATTGGGGACCCCTGCCCTAGCCCCTAGCCCACCTCTAGGCACTTCTAGTCAGAAGGCCGTCATGCCCAATTCCAAATCGTCACCTGGGCACTTCTTGTTGACCTGAAAGGACTATGTTAACTGCTCCACCTTGCCGTCTGACTATTGACTTGAACCGTTAGTTATAAGGCCTAAGTTATAACTACCCTCCGTCTCTGCAGGGGAGCTGTTTGCACAGGCACCAGTGGACGAGTACCCTGGCATCGCCATAGAAACCGTCAGCGACTCCAGTCGTTACTTTGTGCTTCGGATCCAGGATGAGAGTGGTGGGTTGTTGGTCGTCGTCACTTGTCACCATCTGGCCATATTAGAAAGGACAGAAGTATCACACACTACTTTTCTATTAGTAGTTTGTGGCATATCAAGAAGCTGATTAAACAGCATGATCACAACACAATGCCACAGATTTGCTCAAGTTTGAGGGAGTGTCAATTGCATGCTGACTGCAGAATGTCCACCAGAGCTGTGCAGATAATTTAATGTTCATTTTTCACCATAAGCCGCCTCAAAACGTGTTTTTAGAGATTGGCAGTACTCCAACCGTGCCTCACAACACGCAGACACGTGTAATCACGCCACCCCCAGTACATCCAATCCGGCTTCTTCACCTGCAGGATCATCTGAGACCAGCCACCTGGACAGCTATGAAACGAGGAGTATTTCTGTTGTATTATAAAGCACTTTGTGGGGAAACTCATTTGATGGCTGGGCCTGGCTCCCCAGTGGATGTGCTGGCTCCCAAGTGGTGGCCATGCCCTCCCAGGCCCACCCATGGCTGAGCCATGCCCAGTTTATGTGAAATCCATAGATTAGGACCTAAGTTTATTTATTTCAATGACGATTTCCTTAGATGAACTGTAACTCAGTCAAATTGTTGAAATTGCTGCATGTTGAGTTTGATATTTTTGTTCAGTACAGTAGAAATAGATAACACGAATAACAAGGTATGTTTGGATCATTTGAGTGTATAGAAGGACAGTATTTAACAGCTTTGGAGTCACAATCAGTGTTTCTCACGTGCTATGTCTCTGTGTTTAGGATCAGTTGTGACGAAGTGATTTGATTTTGTAACTTACATGGTTTATGTTCATTCTCTGGCCTCTGTCTCTCAGGTCGCAGTGCGTTCATAGGCATCGGGTTTGGGACAGAGGGGACCGTTTGACTTCAACGTGGCGCTGCAGGACACTTTAAGGTGTTGCTCTACGCTGTCAGCTGTCACAACATGGATACATTCTCATAACATTAGCAAACAAGTACAGCTCAGAGCTAAAATGTGACTTCTAACTGACATTAATTTTTAATAGCCTACATTTGTTTCACTCTATAACTCCAAATTCATTGAAAGGGCTCATGACATGGAAACATTTTTTTGCCAATGCAGTGAATAACAATCACAAATACCAAACATTATGCACACAACATTTTCAAAGAATAAGAGGCTTGAATGTATACGTCTCTCCTTTTGCCCTCTATTCTATCTATTACTGTAATATATATATCTTTCTCTCTCTTTGTTAACTCTCTCTCTCTGTCCTCTCAGGTGGGTTGAAACAGGAGCTTGAGATCAGTAGCAGTCTCAGACTCAGAACAACACTCCTAAACTGGACCTGGTTTCAAAGAGGGACAGACCATCACTCTCAATACGGTTAACTTCCTCAAACTCACACCCATAAATCTCTACATGGTACATCTGGTTTAGCGCTTAACAACTCAAAAGCGAACATGCACGCACAGTTTGCAAACCCATGCTCTGTTTTCAAAGCTTTTCAAGCTATCACTCAAACACCTATTCCTCTCAATCTTCCTTCTCACCCGTCCCTCTCTTTCTTTTCTGTCCCTCTCAGCAAGGCAAAAGAAACAATCCGCCCAGAGTGCTGTGCTTGGCTCCTTCCTCCTCACCTGCGGTGTGACGCCAAAAAGCCTCCCTATTAACCAAACATGTAAAGGTTTGTCCAGTGAGGAAATTCATTTCCGGAAGAGTGCTCTTTCTCAAAAAATGACACGTTTGTTACACCTTAAGCGAGCATTCCCTCTGCCAGAATAATTAACCACGAAGGGGGATATAAGAAGCTGATTCAGGAAAGCTACACACAAATGCCACAGATTTTGGCCAAGTTTGAGGAGGTGTGCATGCATCGCTGACTGGGGAAACTTCAGACGGGCATGTATAGTGCTTTCTTGAGCAGGGAGACTTGCGGGCGCTGCAGGATTTCAGTCCTTCACGGCGTAGTGTGTTACCAATTGTTTTCTTGGTGACAATGGTCCCAGCTGCCTAGAGATCATTGACAAGATCCTCCCTTGTAGTTCTTGGCTGATTCCTCACCGTTTTCATGATCATTGCAACTCCACGAGGTGAGATCTTGCATGGAGCCCCAGGCCGAGGGAGATTGACAGTTCTTTTGTGTTTCTTCCATTTGCGAATAATCGCACCAACTGTTGTCACCTTCTCACCAAGCTGCTTGGCGATGTTCTTGTAGCCCATTCCAGCCTTGTGTAGGTCTACAATCTTGTCCCTGACATCCTTGGAGAGCTCTTTGGTCTTGGCCATGGTGGAGAGTTTGGAATCTGATTGATTGCTTCTGTGGACAGGTGTCTTTTATACAGGTAACAAACTGAGATTAGGAGCACTCCCTTTAAGAGTGTGCTCCTAATCTCAGCTCGTTACCTGTATAAAAGACACCTGTGAGCCAGAAATCTTTCTGATTGAGAGGGGGTCAAATACTTATTTCCCTCATTAAAATGCAAATCAATTTATAACATTTTTGACATGCGCTTTTCTGGATTTTTTTGTTGTTATTCTGTCTCTCACTGTTCAAATAAACCTACCATTAAAATTATAGACTGATCATTTCTAAGGACAGAACTATCCAAACACTACTTTTCTATTAGTAGTATTTATACTGAACAAAAATATAAACACAACATGTAAAGTGTTGGTCCCATGTTTCATGAGCTGAAATAAAATATCCCAGAAATTTTCCAAACGCACAAAAAACATTATTTCTCTAAAAAATAGTGTTTACATCCCTTTTAGTGAGCATTTCTCCTCTGCCAAGATAATCTAACCACCTGACAGGTGTGGCATATCAAGAAGCTGATTAAACAGCATGATCACAACACAATGCCACAGATGTCTCAAGTTTTGAGGGAGTGTGCAATTGGCATGCTGACTGCAGGAATGTCCACCAGAGCTGTTGCCAGATAATTTAATGTTCATTTTTCTACCATAAGCCGCCTCAAACGTCGTTTTAGAGAATTTGGCAGTACGTCCAACCGGCCTCACAACCGCAGACCACGTGTAACAACGCCACCCCAGTACATCCACATCCGGCTTCTTCACCTGCAGGATCATCTGAGACCAGCCACCCGGACAGCTGATGAAACGGAGGAGTATTTCTGTCTGTATTATAAAGCACTTTTGTGGGGAAAAACTCATTCTGATTGGCTGGGCCTGGCTCCCCAGTGGGTGGGCCTGGCTCCCAAGTGGGTGGGCCTATGCCCTTCCAGGCCCACCCATGGCTGTGCCCCTGCCCAGTTATGTGAAATCCATAGATTAGGGCCTAATTTATTTATTTCAATTGACTCAGTAAAATTGTTGAAATTGCTGCATGTTGCGTTGATATTTTTGTTCAGTACAGTAGAAGTAGTATAACACAGTAATAACAAGGTATGTGTTGGATCATTTGAGTGTGTAGAATGGAACCGTATTCTACTACAGCATTTGGAGTACACAATCAGTTGTTTCTCACTGTGCTATTTCGCTGTGTTTTAGGATCAGTGTGTGTACGAAGTGATTTGATTTGTAACTTACATTGGTTTATTGTTCTTCTCTGGCCTCTGTCTCTCAGGTCGCAGTGCGTTCATAGGCATCGGGTTTGGGGACAGAGGGGACTCGTTTGACTTCAACGTGGCGCTGCAGGACCACTTTAAGTGTGTTGCTCTTACAGCTGTCAGCTGTCACAACAGAGATAACATTAGCAAAACAAGTACAGCTCAGAGCTAAAATGTTGACTTCTAACTGACATGAATTAGTAATAGCCTGACATTTGTTTCACTCTATAACTCTCAATTCAATTCAAAGGGGCTTTATTGACATGGAAAACATATGTTTATATTGCCAAAGGAAGTGAAATAAACAATCGCAAATTAACAGTAAACATTATGCACACAACATTTTTCAAAAGAATAAAGACGCTTGAAATGTTATAACGCTCTCTCCCTTTTGCCCTCTCATTCTCTATCTATTTACTGTATATATATATATATATATATATCTTTCTCTCTCTCTTGTTACCTCTCTCTCTCTGTCACTCTCTCAGGTGGGTGAAACAGGAGCTTGAGATCAGTAAGCAGTCTCAGACTCCAGACAACACTCCTAAACTGGACCTGGGTTTCAAAGAGGGACAGACCATCACTCTCAATATCGGGGTAAATTTCTCAACTCACACCCATAATACTCCTACCATGGTACCATCTGGTTAGCGCTTAACAACTCAAAAGCGAACATGCACGCACACGTTGCAAACCCATGCTCTGTTTCAAAGCTTTGTCAAGCTATCACTCAAACACCTATTCCTCTCTCCTTCCTTCTCACCCGTCCCCTCCTCTCTTTCTATCCATTTCTGTCCCTCTCTCAGCAAGGCAGAAAGAGAGACAAGTCCCGCCCCCAGAGTGCTGGTGGCTTTGGGCTCCTCCCTCCTCCCCCTGGTGGTGGTGGCGCCAAGATAGCCCCTCCCCCTATGTCAAGCTCCTCCAATGACAATGAAGGGTTATTCTCAGGGGGAGACTTATTCTCTGCGGGAAGTGACTCATTTTCAGGGGAAAGTGACACGTTTTCAGGAGGAAACAACATATTCTCAGCAGGAAGTGACATGTTCTCAGGGGGAAGTAACACAGGTAGGTGAACAGCATTTTGGGCCACATTCAGCGAGGTGTAATGCTACTGGTTGTTCAGATAGATATACACTACATGACCAAAAGTCAAACATCTAATTCCAAAATCATGGGCATTAATATGGAGTTGGGCCCCCCCTTTGCTGCAATAACAGCCTCTACTCTTCTGGGAAGGCTTTCCACTAGATGCTGTGGGGACTTGCTTCCATTCAGCCACAAGAGCATTAGTGAGGTTGGGTACTGATGTTGGGCGATTAGACCTGGCTCGCAGTCGGCATTCCAATTCATCCCAAAGGTGTTCGATGGGGTTGAGGTCAGGGCTCTGTGCACGCCAGTCAAGTTCTTCCACACTGATCTCGACAAACCATTTCTGTATGGACCTCGCTATGTGCACAGGGGCATTGTCATGCTGAAACAGGAAAGGGCCTTCCCCAAACTGTTGCCACAAAGTTGGAAGCACAGAATTGTCTAGAACGTCATTGTATGCTGTAGCATTAAGATTTCCCTTCACTGGAACTAAGGGACCTAGCCTGAACCATGACAAACAGCCCCAGACCATTATTCCTCCTCAACCAAACTTTACAGTTGGCACTATACATTGAGGCAGGTAGATTCGTCCATCAGACTGCCAGATGGTTAAGCGTGATGCAATTGGCATGCTGACTGCAGGAATGTCCACCAGAGTTGTTGCCAGATCATTTAATGTTAATTTCTTTACCATAAGCCGCCTCCAACGTCGTTTTAGAGAATTTGGCAGTACGTCCAACCTGCATCACAACCGCAGACCACGTGTAACCACGCCAGCCCAGGACCTCCACATCCGGCTTCTTCACCTGTGGGATCGTCTGAGAACAGCCACCTGGACTGCTGTTGAAATTGAGGAGTATTTCTGTCTGTTATAAAGCCCTTTTGTGGGGAAAAACTAATTCTGATTGGCTGGGCCTGGCTCCCCAGTTGGTGGGCCTATGTCCTCCCAGGCCCACCCATGGCTGTGCCCCTGCTCAGTCATGTGAAATCCATAGATTAGGGCCTAATGGATTTATTTAAATTGACTGATTTCCTTATATGAACTGTAACTCAGTAAAATCATTGAAAGTGTTGCATGTTGCGTTTATATTTTTGTTCAGTATAGATTATGAAGACAGGTATTCTGCTCTGGCATGTAGAATAGGGGATGTGGTACGCTCCATACAAGACAATTCTATGTGCAACATTCAAAACGTTGTGTTCTCCTGAACGCGACCCTGTTCTCATATTGCTGCTTCTGATTCATCTGTTTGTTTATCTTGTTCGGTTACCCTAGTAACTGCTTTTTCTGCATAGCGCTTTTTGCTAACATTGTTGAAGACTATTTTTACAGTTCCCCAAACCATGCTGTGAATTCATTTGACTGAAGGGAAAAAGTGCATGTTTATATGCCACTGTGTAATTAGGTTAAGGATTGAATGGGGCCCTGGGTGTTTTTTCTTTTAGTTTTATGAGCTAACCAAGAAAAAGGCTATTGTCATTAGAGTATGAATGGGGAGAAAGCAGTAGAGGTTGTGTATTGAAAGGTTTGATGTGTGTTGTCTCCATAGAGATCCTATTAAATTAGTATTCTAATTCCTAATTCTATGGTTGTCTCTCTGTTCTCAGGCTGTTTGTTAGACCTGGACAGCAGTAACTCCAACTCTGTGGTGCAGCCGAACCCCAACCCTACAGGCGGCTCGGACATGTGGGGAGACTTCTCTGCCCCAGAAAAGTAAGGGGATAATCTTCTCTCTCTTTCATCCTTTTCTCTCTTCTTTCATTATTCTGTTCCCCCCATTAATGCTCTCCTCTTTTTCCCCTTAACGCAGGTCAATGTCTCCGCTCGCCAACGATGATGGTTCCACCAACTGGCAGCAGTTCTGAGGCCATCCCACAATCCCTTTCACCTGACCTTCACCTGACCTTTAACCCCTGACCAGAGGAGGACACTGTATATTATCACCTCAACCTCAGTGCACTCTCTCCCTCTCTTCCCCCTCTCTTTATTTGTCTCTCTCACACCCTGCCCCCACTCTCATCACCCCTCTCCTGGCTTCCTCTCCCTCTACATCTTTCCCTCTCAGTTTCAACGCTACACTCTCTCCCCCTCTGTCCCCCTCTCCTTGCCCTCCTCTCCCTCTGTCTCTTTCTCTATCTATTGCAACAGAGTATTTATTTACTACTGAGGGAAAAGACTGAGGTTAAATCGCTCTAAATGAAAGATGGTACAGAAAGGAATGATGGTGACTCACACTAATATAGTCTTGATAAAAAACAAATGAATTAATTTATGTACAGAATATATTATTGTAAATGTATATATTGTCAGTAGTTTGTAATTCCCGTTGTTGTGGTAGTGTCGTAGCTAATTTTCCTTTAGAATCTCCAGTACAACTGGAATTATCGCCTGAAATAACTAATTTACAGGCTTGCCTGGATGCATTAGTATATGACCAAGTTATCTGATCTAAGGTCAGTTTTGCTTTTTCCTCTTAATTACTAAGGTTAGGCCACGGTGAGTCTGGAGCTGGGCTTTGGAGCAGCTTCTGCTTTGAGTGGACACTGATCTACTGTAAGTTTACACAGCAGTCATGCTGTTTGGCGCCCCTTAGTGGGCTATTGCGGTCCTACAACCACAGTCTGACAGGGAGAGTGGTGAGATGTGGACATTATCACTGCTGGGGATGGGAACTTGGCTGGGTCACTTGGCTGCGTTGTTTTAACATGAGGCTGGTGTTAGTTGGTCAATTAACACCGAAATGGAGGGAGCGATAGGAAAAAAGAGTGGTCTGATTGAGTGAAGGGATAGCAGAGTGATGGGATGAAAGGGTAAGATGGGTGGGGTCTGAGGAGGGATGGAGGGTGAGGAGGGGGTTAAACCCATGGGGTGATAGACAGGCCTGATTTAGGCCTTGTGATGTAATCAACAGTCAAGGGGTTTCTGGGTAGAGATGACTCATTTAGGTCACGACTCTTGCCCTGCTGGATGAATAGCCCTGTGTGTGTTGTATATACAACTGTCCGTCCGTCCGTCCGTCCGTCAGTGTTCTATACGTTGAACCCTGGAACTAACTTTAACTCTGTCAATGCAGTGAGACCATTCCAGTCCTTGTGAGATGCAGTGTTTTACTTTACTGTTGTGTTGTTTATTTTGAGAGAAAGGATGGAGGGATAGAAGGGGATAATGCAGTACAGGACATCATAGTGCAATATTACAGTAAGCCATGTATGTGGCTTTTGTACTTATCATTGTGTGTGTCTTTCTCTCATGGACTCAAACATATGCATTGATTGATGACATGATGTTTATTAATGACGTGATAATTGATTGATTTCCTGTGTGAGCACACGGCTAGTGGGAGAACTGGTATGAACTGGTGAGTCTGTGTAGACCCTACCTATGTTTGTTTATGTGTTTCTTCTTGTCATTACAAATACAATATGTGTGTATGTAAATGTGTATGTATTGAAAATAAAAGTATAAAGATATCAACTAATGTTGAATCACGGATTACTTTTCTTTTTATCTGCATAAGGGGAAAAAAACTGGACCAAAAACTGGACTACATCAATAAAGCAATCCACACATAAACCAATTAATTACATTTTATTGGGTAATATTGCACTACTTTGGTATTGGATTGTGATAGAGTGCTGTACAGTAAGGTGCCAGTGATGACAGAGTGGATACTTTGTTCTCAGATTGCCTCTACACAACGAACTACAGGAACCCAACAGCGTTCCATCTGAGCAGTATTATACAGCCCGGAATGGCACTGACGTAAACCACGAGAACATGATCCGTGTCAAATAAAACACAGAGCAAATCTGTCGGGAGTGATTTCTCCCCATGATATTCACAGACAGTTATAATAAAACAAGAGGCTAATAGAAGAACTGAGAAATATGACTCAGACTGTTCTTAACTGGAGTTACGAGGACTGTGTGTGTGTGTGTGTGTGTGTGTGTGTGCATGCGTTTGTGCATGTGTGTCTCTGTGTGTGTCTGTCCGTGCGTGCGTGTGGTTGTATTGTGTGTGTGTGTGTAATAAGGCACAGGCTAGCACCAGGTGTTGAGCGGTGGATTTATGGTGTTTTGGGGTGTTTTTATGGAGACAACCCAGTGTTCTGTCTCCAAGGGTGTCCTCCCTCCTCCTCCTTCTCTCCTTCCTCCCTTCTTCCTCCGCCCCTCCTTCCATCTCCGCCATCTTGGGCCCATCAGGCCTTGTTTTCCCAGGTTTTGGGGTTGCCACGGTGATTGCGACAGCGTTTCTTATTGGTGGTTGACCTCTGGAAGCGTTTGGGCCAGCCGGACCTCTCCCTGCAGAGCTCAGCTGGGATGGAGAGAAGAGAGAGAGCAAGAGAGAGATTGAATACAGATAATGTGTGTGTGTGTGAAAGAGAGAGAGGATGCTGTGGGCTCAGATGTACACTACCATTTGGGGTCACTTAGAAATGTCCTTGTTTTTCGAAAGAAAAGCAATTTTTTTCCCATTAAAATAACATCAAATTGATCAGAAATACAGTGTAGACATAGTTAATGTTGTAAATGGCTATTGTAGCTGGAAACGGCTGATTTTTAATGGACTATCTACATAGGCGTACAGAGGCCCATTATCAGCAACCATCAGTCCTGTGTTCCAATGGCACGTTGTGTTTGCTAATCCAAGTTTATCACTTTAAAAGGCTAATTGATCATTAGAAAACCCTTTTGCAATTATGTTATCACAGCTGAAAACTGTTGTGCTGATTAAAGAAGCAATAAAACTGGCCTTCTTGAGACTAGTTGAGTATCTGGAGCAATCAGCAATTGTAGGTTCGATTACAGGCTCAAAATGGCCAGAAACAAATAACTTTCTTCTGAAACTCATCAGTCTATTCTTGTTCTGAGAAATGAAGGCTATTCCATGCGAGAAATTGCCAAGAAACTGAAGATCTCGTACAATGCTGTGTAATACTCCCTTCACAGAACAGCGCAAACTGTCTCTAACCAGAATAGAAAGAGGAGTGGGAGGCCCCGGTGCACAACTGAGCAAGAGGACAAATACATTAGAGTGTCTAGTTTGAGAAACAGGCGCCTCACATGTCCTCAACTGGCAGCTTCATTAAATAGTACCTGCAAAACACCAGTCTCAACGTCAACAGTGAAGAGGCGACTCCGGGATGCTGACCTTCTAGACAGAGTTGCAATGAAAAAGCCATATCTCAGACTGGCCAATAAAAATAAAAGATTAAGATGGGCTGCCTGAGATATGGCTTGAGACTGTATTTCTGATCAATTTGATGTTATTTTAATGGAGAAAAAAATTGCTTTTCTTTCGGAAACAATGACATTTCTAAGTGAGCCCAAACTTTTGAACGGTAGTGTACATGCTGTCCTTAAGTCAGTAAGAGTTTCATGCACTCTAAGATTGTTATGTTGTTGTAATCCTAACAACTGGTCTAATGAAGTGCTATCAGGTAGACTGTCTTACCCTTCAGGTACTCATCCTGTTGGCACACAGTTCTCACACAGATCTCCTTGTTGATCACATAGACACGAGGGAGGCTGAGACAAACCAGGAGACAGACATCATTACACTATAATCAGACCGCAGCTGCTGTCTCTAAAACATGCCTCTCTGCACAGGCTCTCAGGTTGAAACCCATGGACTTTGACTGCATGACCAGGAGGCACTGAGTGTGTCTATGTTTTCCTGAGAGAGAGCCTGTAGTTGCAGTTTACCTGTAAAGACAGAGGGAGTGGATGCATCTCTTGATGGGCCGGTGGACAGAGTACATCCTGGTGCAGGGGTACGTCTCTTCCCTACAGTCTAGCACAGAGGATACACACAACATCCAGATAATGATAATGGTCATCCCTGGCCTAACATTGTTCAGTGATGTTTCTGTCCCACACTGATGACCTCACTCACCAGGTGGTAGGGTAGAGACAGACACCTCACTCACCAGGTGGTAGGGTAGAGACAGACACCTCACTCACCAGGTGGTAGGATAGAGACAGACACCTCACTCACCAGGTGGTAGGGTAGAGACAGACACCTCACTCACCAGAGGGTAGGGTAGAGACAGACACCTCACTCACCAGGTGGTAGGATAGAGACAGACACCTCACTCACCAGGTGGTAGGGTAGAGACAGACACCTCACTCACCAGGTGGTAGGATAGAGACAGACACCTCACTCACCAGGTGGTAGGGTAGAGACAGACACCAGAGCCTCCTCTTCATTCCAGTCACCTCTGGGGAGATCCACCTCTACCAACAGGGAAACAACACAATCAGCATGGGAGCGACCTCTACCCACGGCCATGATTCACATGCAACTTAATCTATTTTGAAATAATGTGTGACCATTGAATGGAGGGCATTATTACCAGCCTGTGGGGCTTGGGCTACAGCTGTGAGAGCTGTGGAACAGAAAACCATATGATGGGAAGTGTTTTATGGAGTTAAAACAAACAGAGATGGACTCAAACCGAATTGAAGGTGATGATTTGTGTGTTGTGTTTGTCAGGGGTTACCGTGGAAACCGCAGAGGAGAAGGGCGATTGGAAGACTGCCCATCCTTGTCAGAGCTGGATGTTTACGAGCTGAAGGAAAGAGGACCCACAAAAGCCCAAAGAGGAAAATAGTTTATATGTTTCAATTCACACAGAGGAACTCTTCAATATCTCGACTTTACATTTCCTCTCTCTTCCTTCTGCTCTCCCCCTGGCCCTGCCTCTGCTGTTTCTAATGCAATGTATACTCTTCTCTAAGGCTATAGTGCAAAATAATTACAATTAGTATTAACACTGGAATGCTAGATGTGCAAGAGATTATGTGCAAATAGAGATACTGGGGTGCAAAAGAGCAAAAGAGCAAAATAAATAACAATATAGGGATGAGTTAGTTGGGTGGGCTAATTTCAGATGGGCTGTGTACAGGTGCAGTGATCGGTAAGGTGCTCTGACAACTGATGCTTAAAGTTAGTGAGGGAGATAAGAGTCTCCAGCTTCAGAGATTTTTGCAATTTGTTCCAGTCATTGGCAGCAGAGAACTGGAAGGAATGGCGGCCAAAGGAGGTGTTGGCTTTGGGGATGACCAGTGAGATATACCTGCTGGAGCGCAGACTACGGGTGGGTGCTGCTATGGTGACCAATGAGCTAAGATAAGGCAGGGATTTGCCTAGCAGTGATTTATAGTTGGCCTGGAGCCAGTGGGTTTGACGACGAACATGTAGTGAGGACCAGCCAACAAGAGCGTACAGGTCACAGTGGTGGGTAGTGTATGGGGCTTTGGAGACAAAACGGATGGCACTGTGATAGACTACATCCAATTTGCTGAGTAGAGTGTTGGAGGCTATTTTGTAAATGACATTGCAGAAGTCAAGGATCGGTAGGATAGTCCGTTTTACAAGGGCATGTTTGGCAGCATGAGTGAAGGAGGCTTTGTTGTGAAATAGGAAGCCGATTCTAGATTTAACTTTGGATTGGAGATTCTTAATGTGAGTCTGGAAGGAGAGTTTACAGTCTAACCAGACACCTAGGTATTTGTAGTTGTCCACATACTCTAGGTCAGACCCGTCGAGAGTAGTGATTCTAGTCAGGTGGGCGGTGCCAGCAGCGTTCGATTGAAGAGCATGCATTTAGTTTTACTAGTGTTTAAGAGCAGTTGGAGGCTACTGAAGGAGTGTTGTATGGCATTGAAGCTCGTTTGGAGGTTTGTTAACACAGTGTCCAATGAAGGGCCAGATGTATACAAAATGGTGTCGTCTGCGTAGAGGTGGATCTGAGAGTCACCAGCAGCAAGAGCGACATCATTGATATACACGGAGAAAAGAGTCGGCCCAAGAATTGAACCCTGTGGCACCCCTATAGAGACTGCCATAGGTCCAGACAACAGGCCCTCCGATTTGACACATTGAACTCTATCTGAGAAGTATTTGGTGAACCAGGCGAGGCAGTCATTTGAGAAACCAATGCTATTTAGTCTGCCAATAAGAATGAGGTGGTTGACAGAGTCGAAAGCCTTGGCCAGGTCGATGAAGACGGCTGCACAGTACTGTCTATTATCGATCGCGGTTATAATATCGTTTAGGACCTTGAGCGTGGCTGAAGTGCACCCATGACCAGCTCAGAAACCGGATTGCATAGCGGAGAAGGTACGGTGGGATTCGAAATGGTCGGTGATCTGTTTGTTAACTTGTCTTTCAAATACTTTCGAAAGGCAGGGCAGGATGGATATAGGTCTGTAACAGTTTGGATCTAGAGTGTCACCCCCCTTTGAAGAGGGGGATGACCGCGGCAGCTTTCCATCTCTGGGGATCTCAGACGTTACGAAAGAGAGGTTGAACAGGCTAGTAATAGGGGTTGCGACAATTTCGGCGGCTAGTTTTAGAAAGAAAGGGTCCAGATTGTCTAGCCCAGCTGATTTGTAGGGGTCCAGATTTTGCAGCTCTTTCAAAACATCAGCTGTCTGAATTTGTGTGAAGGAGAAGCGGGGGGGGGGGGGGGGGGGGGGGGGGGGGGGGGGGGGGGGGGGGGGGGGGGGGGGGGGGGGGCATGGGCAAGTTGCAGCGGAGGGTGCAGAGTTGGTGGTCGGGGTAGTGGTAGCCAGGTGGAAAGCATGGCCAGCCGTAGCAAAATGCTTGTTGAAATTTTCGATTATTGTAGATTTATCGGTGGTGATAGTGTTTCCTAGCCTCAGTGCAGTGGGCAGCTGGGAGGAAGTGCTCTTATTCTCCATGGACTTTACAGTGTCCCAAAAGTTAGTGCTACAGGATGCAAATTTCTGTTTGAAAAAGTTAGCCTTTGCTTTCCTGACTGCTTGTATCTAAGGCAGTTGTAGGAAATGTGTACCTGGTCAAATCCAGGTAAATGAGATAGATACAGTATGTGTGCTGTTGTTAGTATCAGCATTAATCAAGCAGTTTGAATCAGGTTGCTGTTTTTTCTCACAAAGTAATCCTCTCTCTCTCTCTCTCTCTCTCTCTCACACACACACACAGACACACACACTCCCTCAGCTCTCTCCCTGCATCATTCCTCTTGTGATGTGTCAGTGTGAGTTTGGAGTCCAAGACATGAGTTCTCACAAAAGAATGTGTTTTCTGTGCCCTATTTGAGCACCCCTCTACTCCTCCTTTCTCATACACTCTTTTCATACAACTCTCTTTTCATACACCTCTCTTTTCATACACCTCTCTTTCCATAAACCTTATTAAGAATGCTCTAAATCGTCCAAACAGTTTTGTCACTCGGTATGTTTAACATCCCATTTCTCCTTTACGACCATCTTGCCCAGGCCCTGAATACGCTAAATTGATTTATCTTGCTTTGACTCATTTATACACTCTTGTATGCCAGGGCACATAGCTTTGCAAAATACATTAGTTCTGAATGACATATTTTCATCCATGACAGGAGTTCACAGACAGTATTCTATTATGATGACTTCATGGAAAGTTAGTTATTTGCAGTAAATGTAGTTTCTCTATGCATCTTTTGTACATGTACCTCATGTTATTTATAGTAAACATTCTATATACAGTACTGCAGTGCTACTAATGCCTTTATAGTCTTCAAAATGAAGAAAAGAACACAATGTTTTCATACTCACAATTTTTCCTGTCGTCCAAAAACGTCCTTTGTTTTGAATCTTTTGTCCTCTCTCCTTTCCCCTCCTTCTCTCTCCCTCTCCTCCTCCATCCCCTCCTCCTTCTCCTCCTCCATCCCCTCCTCCTTCTCCTCCTCCACCCCTTGTCCTCCCCTCTCATTATAATTCTCTTGCTCTCTCGCGTTCCTCCCCTCCAATCTGGTAGAGATTTAGGGAGAATTGTTCTAGTCCAGAGTTGGTTTCATATACACCCAAACAACACAAAACTCATTATCAAAAATATGTGTCTATGCACTGTGTTGATTTCACAATAACTATCACTAATAGTAAACAAATCTATCAGCGTATTGAACTAGGGACTTACACTTTACAAATACAAAAAACTGACAGAAGAACAACAATGGTCAACACACAATGACAGGTAGAACATAAACAAAGAGCCCAATATGCTTTAGAGCAACTGAGGGAATATGACAGAATGACTGGTACAGGTCTGGCAGACCTTGCATTTGCAGGGATCCTCTTTCTCCACTAGGCGGGGCAGTGTACATGGTGAGTGTGGTCTCAGCTCAGAAGTGGCCAATCTTGGTTTCGGAAGAGCAGCAGTGTGTGCAGGCTTTTGTTTCAGCCCAGCTCTAACTGTAGACCAACTTATCGTGGTCTAGATTGAAAGATATATGCTAGTGCTGGGCTGGAGTAAAAGCTTGCACGGCCTGTATCACTGTCCAGAGTTGCTTGTCACATATTTCTATATTTATGCTGTTCTTAATCCTGGGCCTGGGGACCCACATGGGGTGCATATTTGTGTTCTTGCCCAGCACTAACACACACCTTATTACACTAATCAATGGTTTACAGTAGTTGAATTAGGTGATGGGCTGAAGCAGAAATGTGCTGTGGGACTCTAAGGACCATGCAGGATTAAGGAACTAGAGTAGACAATTATATTGCTACATCAGAAGACACTGCAACAAGGATGAGTGAATATCACGACCAAAACTCCTGACCCTTTGTTTGATCCCCTACTTGTGTTGAAAATAGGGTTTCCATAGGGACCATTAATAGCTTGTATGGGGGAAACCTGAGAGCAGCAGGCTTCCATGAACTTAACCAATATAAATATTGCCATACATACTACCAGAGTCACAGACAACAAAACTCCCCTAGCGCTCTCTCTCCCTCTCTCCCAAAGTCAATTCAACAAGAGGGACACACTCATCATCCCCCTGACACATCGGGGCTGCATAGTCTCTGGGGGTGAGGCTGGGGGGTGAGGAGGGGGTGAGGGGGGTGAGCGGGAGAGACGCGCTGGCCTAACAAGGTCGGGTGGGCATGGCTGATGACAGGTTGAGTGATGGAGAGATCAGGCCAGAGAACACACCGACCCGCCATTCTGAACACTCTGCTTTCACCCTGAGAAATAGGGAGGGAGGGCATAGTGAGCAACACCCAGTCAGCAAGACATCAAAATATGACTTTGCCTTATGTCCAAAGGACGTTCAGATTTGGTACAGAGTGAAAGTTTAAACAACCTCTATTATGGATGTTGAAAAAAAATACGATTTTGGGGCCAAATCTAGGCCGGTCCGCACAGACAAAATATGTACCAAAAGACAACTATCTTTGGGCCAAATCACGGCCAGGCCTGATTGGCCAAAAAATCTACGTCTGTAGAAGTTGAAATCAAGGCATGGGCGGACTGACCCAATTTTACCAATAAACAACGTCCATGCATCATGTCGGTGCTCACTGGGGAGAGAATGCATAGACAAAGTATAGAGGAGAACTTCAGCATTGAGAGAAAAGTGTGGGAAGAGGGACAGTAAGTGAGATTATGAACATAGAAAAAGCTTTAGAGGGAGAGGCTCAGGGACATATTGGGAGGTAGAGGGACAGTGAAATTTGGCAGAGAGAGAGAGAGAAGAGAGAGGGCAGGGCAGCAGGGTGGTTGATAGAGGGAGCCCAGGAAGCGTCCTTTTTGGTAGCGAGGATGGAGAGATGCCAGGTCATAAACACTGATAAACTTCCAGACTTGTTTATTAGTTGAAGGCCTTTCTCCCCCGCCCCTCTGCAAGACTTCCCATTCCTGCCTGGTGTATGTTTTCTCCACACAACCCCCTCTTAAAGATGCACTCTGGGATCTTAAACATAACAAATGTGTATGATATTGCACAAATTATATTCGCACCAATTGAAAAATTCGTAACATATCACACGAACTGGATGACATAGTACACAATTTAATGGTAATAGTACACAAGAAACAGGTACCTGTTTTTTCTCGTGAGCACCACTTTCAAAACTAGTGGCTGAAATTATACGTTTGAGAGTGCATCTTTAACCCTGCAGCATCTTTCTCTCCCTGGATTGTTTATTTATTTATTTTACATTTAGCAGACGCTCTTATCCAGAGCGACAGAGCGACTTACAGGAGCAATTATGGTTAAGTGCCCTTGCTTAAGGGCACATCGACAGTTTGTCACTAGTCGCTCTGGGATAGAACCAGCGAACAAGCTACTGAAGCCTCCCTCTCCACTGTCTTTTTGTTCTCCTTTAGTTTTTCTTACTCCCACAGGTCCACACAAGTGTTCCATATCTACTTGCAACAACACAAACATGGCTTTAACTACATGAGTAATTTTGTCTAATTTGGAAAGAAAATTCATAATTTATATTTTGTACACAATAAATTAAATCAATTATGTGTCAATGTTGTTGTGTTGTTAGGGTTCAATGAATACACCGTAATGAAAAATAATGAATGTTTACTTAAAATATAGTTTTTACATCTTGTCTGTAGGCACGTATTCATACAACTCCCTGTCACGTTCAACTGCCACCTGAGTAGCTCTCCTGCGCATCCGTTATCCTGCTCTGGCATGGTAATCAATCTAGCAAAAACTATTTGCTTATATCATTACATCTCCCTTTCTTTAAATATAATTATTTTACTTTTCAAAATTAACTATTTATTTCTGTACTCAAAGTGTAATAACAAATTAATGAATGAATTGTAAACAGCATTTCAACCTTGTTAACAAAATGTTATTAACTATATGCTTAGTAGGACCACTAGTGAAAATATGACAATATGTCCTTAGAGTCCTTAACAACTCTCAATAAGTATTTCTGGTACTTTCACTTGCCATGTCAATCTTCTGATGGGTTTGTTCATCACTCTGGGCTGCTGCCAGAGCTGTGCTTTTAGCCTCTTCAACAGTCATGACTGTCTGTTGCTGGTCCCTTAGAAAATCACGACGATTTCTCCGTAGAACAGCGCCATCTTCTGTTTGTATGTTGTATGACCTTGGCTGTACTTCGGTAACTGTTCTTTTTAGTGTCCATGTGTTTGTTTCGTCTTTGTACCTCACATTGTCATCAGGTTGGAGTTCAGATAGGTTTATTGACCCTCTGTCGTAGTATAACTTTTGATTTGTTTTCTGTTGTTCCTTGAACTTCCTCACTTTCTCTCCCTCTTTCGTTTTTAGGAGGTACTCCTTGATTGGGCAGTTGGTCCTCAGTCTGCATCCCATGAGGAGGTGTGCTGGGGAAAACCCCCAGTCAAGTGGCATCCTGTGGTATACAAGCAGGCTCCTGTAGAAGTCAGTTCCACTGTCTTTTGCTTTGTCTCTTCACTGTCTGAACAGATTTCTCCACCAGGCTGTTCGATTGTGGGAAGTGTGGACTTGATGTAGTGTGGACGAAGTCCCAGTCCTTGCTGAATTGTTTGAACTTTTGCATTAGAGAATTGCGGTCCATTATCGCTGAAGACTCCACTTGCCACCCCGTTTCTGGAGAAAATGGATTTCATACAGGTTATCACAGTGTCTGAGGTGGTGGTGTTCAGCCTCCAAACCTCTGGATACAGGGAGTAGTATTATGTGACAACAAGGTGATCCATTCCATTACATATAAAAAGGTCTCAGGTGCAGGGTGGGGCTTTAATGGCTCTGCAGGGCTGCTTGATATTTCAGACATGCAGTACAGTTTGATACTTCGTCTGTCACATCTGGGTTCATTCTGGGCCAATACATTACTTCACATGCTCTGTTCTTGCACTTCTCGATTCCTAGGCGTCCTTCATGACTCTTTTTTTTACATTTCCTTCCTCAGACTTTTCGGAATTACTATTTTGATTCCATTGTAGACAATGTTTTCAACTACTGTCAGCTCAGCTCTGTAGTTCCAGTATTCGGTTATGTCATGTGAGCAGTCTTGTTTCATGTTAGACCATCCATTGATTATTATTTTCTTCAGGTTTGTCAGTGTTGTGTCTTTTTCTGTCTCAGTCTGTATGATTTCCATCTTCCATCTGCGACTGGCAATGCTGTTGTGATCATGTCCACTTATGTTCTCACTTCTTCATCTGCTTTGGTGCCCGCTGGTGCCTTCGTGTCCACAGCTCTAGAAATAGTGTGCATCATCTTTCCCGGAGTGTATGCTACATTCAGAGCATAGTGTTGTAGTTTGATCATCATTCTTTGGACTCTCAGCGGACAGTCATTCAGTGGTTTTTGAAACAGCGGAATCAGTGGTTTGTGAGCCGTTTCAACACTGATCACTTGCCCTGACACAAACTGATGGAATCTCTCACAAGGAAATATTATGCTGAGCAGCTTCTTTTCAATTTGAGCAGGTCTCATTGGTTGGTCATTGAACAAGATGCATATGCCACTGGTTGCCAGTTGTCGTACTTATGCAACAGAACAGTCCACTCTGTGATGCATCTGATGATATCTTGATGGGCCTCGCTGGGTCATAAAATCTCAAGACTGGTTCCTCTGTCAGCTGTTTTTTCAAGTTGTTCAATGCAGTCTCATGTTCATGATTCCATTCCCATTCTATTTTATTTTCCGTGAGTCTTCTCAGCGGAGCAATCTTCTCTGAGAGGTTGGGTATGCATTTTCCCAAGTACTTGACCATCCCATTAAACCTCTGTACATCGTTTTTGCTCTATGGTTTTGGCATGTTATCCACAGTAGATATTTTTCTCAGGTCAGGTCTGATGCCTTCACTGCTGATGATGTCTAAAACAAATGTCAACTCCATCACACCAAGCTGACATTTCTCTTTGTTCAGTTTCAAGTTTGATTTTCT